GGCTGAGGAAAACAAAACCCGGCAAAAGATAGGACACCAAAACTCGACTTGGGTGCCAATCAATGAAAAGGACTTGAATTCATCATATCCATTCTCATTCTTCTTTCAGTCGCTATCAAAATACGAACATCCAGACACTAAACATTGTCTGAACCTGCAGGAAATGCCGCCCCTCTTACTTTACATCCTCACAAGGATTCTGGATCTTACTTTTAAAAGGAATTCCATTGAATAAAACGTTGATCCAATGGATGCGTATTTGGGAGTTCAACCGAATGGTCGACGAGTTGACTTTTACGACTCCGCGTCGACGTTTAACGCTTGAAAAAGACGAATCGCTAGGAAGACTTTCCATTCACCCGTCTGCTGCCGATACCAGACTGTAATGCTCTGTGGAGTAGCGGAATGTCCGGCCAGCAAAGCACGCAACTTTAACTTCACAAAAAAAGAAAGTAAAGGTATATTCACACCAGAAAAGTCCGTTGGTGTCCTTTTTTTGTTCGTATTCACACTGGACTTTTTTTCAGGTGAACTATATTCTGTAAACACGTCGACGTGTGTGACGATCGGTCTTCCGGTGAAAAGAAACCTTACAAAGCGAGTCTCGGTCCGTTTATTTATTTAGTTTTTTTTTTATCCGCACCTGGATTCATTTGTGTATATTCACACCTGCATAAAAGGTCCGGAGTAGCGTGGAAAATGAAGTCTGGTCCGTTTAAAGTGGACCAAACAGTGCAGGTGTGAATACACCCTCAAATCAACATTTAAATGCAGACCGAGCTCAAAGGGCAATGGGCAAACTGCGCCTTTAATCGCAATCCTGCAAAAAGACAGACGCAAATCCTCCTGGATAAAAGTAATACGGTCTTCAAACATTCCTACACCCAGTTATTGTCCCAAGAAAAGGGGTTAGGAACCCTGACCTCAACCCGAACAAAAATATTTGGGATGACCTAGAACCAAAGTCCCCGGTCCAACATCAATAAACAGAAAATCCTACAGTCACATTTCAAAGTCTAGCGCACAGGTGTCAAACTCAAGGCCCGGGGGCCAGATCTGGTCCGCCAGGTCATTTTGTGTGGCCCGTGGAAGCAAATCATGTGTGTAAAATTGCTAAAATCTGTATCGAAATGTCAGATTGTCACGTGGAATAAATAACGTTGCGATTTTGCAATAACTTTGTTACCCAGTACACACTCACTTGAACAATAATTGAACAAACTATTATTATTGACTGATTTCAAAACTAGTAATCTATTAATTTGTTGTGTACAAGTAACAATTTTGTGGTTTCACTGTCATAAGAGCCCTCCGAGGGAAGACGTAACTCCAAATTGGCCCGCGACTAAAATGAGTTTGACACCCCTGGTCTAGCAGAAAGCCTTTTTCCGAATAGAGGAGATGCTTTTGTGGCTGCAATGTGCACAACTGCCCGGAATTCCAAGCTGGTTTGTTTGTGTGTTTGTCAACCTGTCTGGTCTGCTCCTCCACCAAAAAAAAAACAAAACAAAAAAAAAAAAAAAGATGTGTCAAACATTGGACGATGGTAGTGTACTAGAACTCAAAGAGCTCACAAATAATCACCAAAAGCACAAAAAGGTGTGGTGACATTACACGGAATTAGGCGTGCCTGAAGGATTTCGGCGCCCACCGCAGACCGTTGCAGGGTAGCGAATGAGCTCATTAGCTTATACAGCTTACAGCAGTCACAAGTGCAAGATGTATTTCAAAACCTGGATAGAGAAACTATGCTTAGAAGCAGCATGAAGCATGCAGAAATTCAGCAGATTACACACGGCAATCGCCTTGATGTCTTAAGACATGTTTCCAGCAAGCTCTGCAGCTCAAACTTTTAGTTTTATGTCCATCGAGGAGTACAGTACAGCAGTGATTCCCAAGCCTTGCATCGTGAGACGTCACTTCAAAGATGTCACACCATATACTGTGGTTCAAACGAGAGCCAGATCAGAGTTTTCCGTTCCCAAGCGTACCATGGTGAAAAAAAAATATAAAATAAAAAATGAAGTGGAGCATCAAGTGGAATGGCTTTTTTTAGTCTTCTGTTATCACACTCAACTCATTAAAGGTTAATCAATGCTCAAAGACAGGAAAACTGATTTTATGAGCTGTTCTGCTCTGAATCTGGGACATCAGCAGAAATGTGCTTATTATCATGGAAAACTGAGCCCCTCGGATACTGTTTTGAAACTAACTGTACATCACATGATGTCATACTGATCTAAAGAAAAAAAGACCTTGGAACTAAATACAGAGTCGATAAATGGGAGCAGTGACGTAGGGGTTCAATCAAAGGTAATCTATTCGAAAAGAATCATGTATGTGTTTGTGTTTTTAATGGTTAAGCCAGTACCTCGCGGAGCGGCGCATATTTGCGAGTGTGTGCACGTAGCGAATGTTTTTATGTTTTTGGTATTTTTTTGTAATCTGGGTTCGTTCAAGGTCACAAACGGTTCTAACGGTCTCAAAGAGTTTTGAATTGTTGAACATGTTCAAAATTTCATGGCGACAGGAAAATCTGTTTGCGACCATTAAAACTGTTCATGCACATCTGGCGAACGTATTTGTAACCTTGAGAGAACCCTGACGAAAATTCTCATTCGGGCAGTTCGCAAAACACTCGCCAACCCTCGCCGCTCAGTCAGATTCAACAGGCTTTAGCGATTAGCCTTAAGGCCACTGAGTGACAAAACTTTGCAATGTTAGCGGATATCGATTTTTCGTCAGGGTTCGTTCAAGGTCGCAAAGATGTTCGCTAAAAGTTTTAATGGTTGCCAACCAGGATTGTATTGATAATTACTGGATCGACTTATCGCTTGGGGAGGAAAAAACGGACCAGATCGTTTTTTTTTTTTTTCCTCGACTCCATAAATGGTCATTTACATGCGTGTTTGTTTGAATGTGTTTTCAACATTCACCTTTGCTGTTTTTTTGCCTCTTGTGTCACTCAGCCTGCTCGCCGGTGCGCTACTTGGGACTCACTCCTCTGGCTATATGCTCCTTATTTGAAATTTTTGTCTAAAAATCCCCTGGCTACTTTTTTGTTTAAACGTTTGTAATATATGTATGTATTAATAACATGTTCGTTTTGTTTTCTGTTTACTGAGAATTGTATTCTGACTTGTTCAATAAAGATTATTAAAAAAAAAAAAACGGGACTCACTCACATGCACTCATAAACACAAAGTGTGGAACGGCTGTCGAAATACATGCGTTTAAACCGTTTGGTTTGCATGTGTCCAATCAGTTCTTCAAAGGTCCTTTCGACCCACTTATAGCAGTTTTACTCTCTTTTTAACCAGTCACCCGAGCTTCAATGAGACACTTGAGTTGACATATGGCTGTGACACAGGTTATTGTCTCCCTGGGGAAAGAAGATGTGCATGTGCACCATTTTATTGATGGGCTTATGAAATGCCTTTAAATAAATTATTCAATGTTTCCACGTACCCTCTACAAAGTATTGAATACTCTTAGGGGGTATATACACACACACACACACACACACACATAAACGAGCATTGTATAATCACAATGGGCATATATAATAATACCCCCAGCCATATATTCTTTATCATCTGTGAAAAACATTAATGCCGCTTACTGTGCCAAGAAGAGACGGTTTTCTTTGTGTATCGTGAATTACACTGTCCCCGTGGTGGCCAAAGAGTGATAATTTCCAAAACACCGGATGTCATTTGGGTGGCTGGAATGGATTTATGGCATTTCCATGCATTTCAATAGTGAAAGATGATATGCGTGATGAGCATGGTCACGGAATAAATTTAGCCTCTAAAACAAGACCTCACTATATATATGTTTCCAAACGTTTTTTAAAAATTATTATTAGTTAACAAAATAATAAGAGTGACTCTCTCAATACTACACTACATTATGACAGCCTCAAACCACACACATGCCTGAAGGGGTGGGGTTGGGAGGCATTACCCTATATCCCATCTCATGGTGAAAGATGGGTACACCCTCGACTGACCACTAGTCAGTCACAGGACAATTTCAAACAATGAGTGAACCAAATGTGGCACTGAAGAAAATAGCCATTGTAAAAACATGTAATAACATACAGTGTCATGTGGCTCCATGCATTTCTACGTGTGACTAGCAAGCTTCTGCAGACGTCAGGCAGAGCTGCAGTTGTCTCACACATCAATACTCAAATCCCCTGCATTACATTATTCTTGTAGGACACAAACCAGTCCAGGTATACTTTCGGTAATTCTGTTGACAGTCACACAAACAGCTGGACTAACCCCAGCAGACCTAAGTGTAGTCACAACAAACACACAGTACATAGATATCTGAAATACCTACAATCAACTTTGAAGGGATTGGTCTGTTTTCGCCTGGACATATTATAGTCCACACACAGGGAATGAAGAAAAAAAAAAAGAGGTGGAATCCCCTTCCACACCCCCAGGATGTTTCCCGTCCACGCTGCTTCAGGTGGAAAATGATTTATGTTTCCAGACCGTCGATTCAGAGAGGCAAAAAAAAAATAAAATAAAATAAAATAAAAAATAAAAAAAAACATTCATATAGAGCGTCACATCCTTGCGGTGGTGATAAAACTAAAACGGTACATCCAATGAACGGGCTCCGTTTTTAAAAAGAACTGGGATTGTCTGAGCCGCCACGGAGCAGCTCCGGCTACGGGCGCGCACACGCCGCTAACGGGCGCGTGCTCACTGCGGCGACGCTGGAGCTCAGCTGATCTATCGCGTAAAGGGCGCTGCAGTGCATTGCGGGATACGTAGAGCCAACACGGAAATGTTAGCCCTTAAGCTAGTCGGGCAGGCAGAATGTTCCTTTAGTAGACAAATGCGTCCACTAAATATGCGTTGAATATACTGGGCATTCTGGATGAAATAAAACTCACGTTACTATTGGAATGCATGAAAATGTACTAGTAGGCAATTAATTTAATCTCATCAAGAGAGAGATACAAATTCAAGAGAAGTATGACGACTACAACTGCTGTGGTTTGTCTAAAAAGTAATCTGACATTTGATGACAAAGGAAAGCTAAATTCAACTGGGAAACAATGACCACATCAGCAACTATTTTACATTAGCCCAGGGTGTACCAACCTTTTGCAAACTGAGAGCTACTTCTGAGGCACTGATTCATGCAAATGGAGTACCAATTTGATACACACTTCTGAAATAACAAAAATGTTCAAATTACGTTCAAGATTATTATTATCAAGTAATAAGCAATAATTAATTAGATGTATTTGCGAAATATTTGATCCTGTTAATGCTTTCTCACAGTAATTGGGAAACAGTAAAATATCAATATGCAACACTTTATTTCTAATTCTCAAAGTGTGTACATTTTTAAATGATCATTTGTACAACATTCTGAGGAACTCACACTACGGTCCAGATATGTTAGTAATAACACAGTGGTATCACCGCATTAGGGTGGATATTAATTTTGCGGTGGTAGCATGAAGCATAATTAGGCAAAGATTTCATAATTAAGTACCACAATATTATAATTATGAAATGTTAAAATTTGGGGTTTCTTTTAAAGACACTCCACCCACCTGCAGTAGTTTTTATGTCATTCATTTTATTGTCACTTAGCTTTGCTGTGGGGGATGAAGTAGAGATGAAAGGGAGAGAGACAAAAGTGATGGTTTTTGACCACGAAGATGTGAGCATTAATGGATAAACAATATTAAATATTGTTCAAATATGTTCAAATTCAGTAAAATCATTGAGATTATTCATTTGTTGGATAAAACTGTTCAAGATGGATTCTAAGTACAGTACTTTAACTTTCTCAAATTCTTACTTTAGTCAATGGTAAACATTAAACTTTAAAATATTTGTGGTACATGAAGGTGTACGTTCCCCGAATCGGGTTAAACATGGGCCCCCAAATGACTAATATGCCCTTGCTGACAAGTAAGGACAAATAGTGTGCTAGTACATCGAAGTCGGATATCAGGTACATCAAATAAATACTCAAACGCCTTGACATATACAAATACATAATTGAGAGAACCAGAGTTGTTGGATTTTAGACATTCATTATCATCGATAGTTTCTCTAACATATACAAAATACGCCGCTAGATGGCGCTCTATGCCGCGACACACACCCAGTGCCACAACATTACACGAACAAGTCGTCGTCACTGAATGCCACGAGTAAAAGGACCGTATCACCACATTGACAAGAAAAGGGATATTCTTCCGCTGGAGAGGAGGAGGAGGAGGGGGAGCTTAAACAGAAAGTAAATCCACATCAACAAAAATGATACCACTGAAATGTGCCCATCACGTTCGAATCAAAAGCGACACGCACAACCACCGCACAGCAAAATGCTTGTCACCCTTACTTTTTGTTCGATTCGCTTGTAACAGCAATAAATTGACGTTAGCGAGCTGGCTAACAACAGGCTAGCTCTTTATAATAACGATGCACCAGAACAGGCGCTAGACAACATTGCGCACGTTCTAACCAATGTGGACATACAATACGGATATGATCAGTGCTTTACCCATGTTATCCAGCGATCATCAGGCGTACGTCATGGAACAGAACAACGCCACGATTTAAACAAGTCCTCCGATGAAAGCTAACGCTACTGTACGCTGCTTAACTTGAGCAAACCTTGCTCCAAAACCTTTTGGGACATGTCAGTGTAACCCTCCGCCTGCGGTAGATGTGCTGAGGCTGGAGTAGCCACCATTTTGCATGTCGAGTGTGTTCCTCCCTCCATTGCTAATAGAGACGATTCCACTTACTTTCTGGCGTCACCACGGCTGGTAAGTGCATCGCGAGTGTGCGTCTGTCAGAAGACGTGCGGAAACCGTGCGATACGATAAAAATAGTTGGTCGTTTTGTTGGTATTTACGTTGACAACACACTGTGGCGCTGCATAGGAAGTGCTCCTCGGTGCACCGGGGTTGTGGCTGTCAGAAGCTAAGTTAGGTACACATTACCATTCATACTCCGCGACTCCCAGACATAATCGACGTGACAACACCGTATATCGAATTTACTTTTACCATGCTAACGTAATCATCACTCCATTTGAGTGTACATACCTGTAGTATTCATTGAAAGAAAACGGGGATGTAAACGAGTGACAAGGTAGCAAGCTAACAACGCCTAAAAAAAGGCCTAAAACCGCATCATATCCTGTGGACAGGGTCAGGTGTAATTTCTAACCACGATCGCATATCCGTATACACGGGGAACAGTTTCGGGCCCCAATCGTCATGTAATCGTTTCATCCCAGTCAAGAGGAAGGCAACTTATTCCACTGGTAGAAAGTTGAAATGCTACTCCTGTTAGCTCGTCGTTAGCCAAAATGTGTAGGTGTCATTTGTGTCACCGAAAGCAGTGTTGCAATTTTGGAAAGCTGGATAATTCGTTTAAGCCTAACAGGTGTCTGGATCTCAAAACCTTTTGGACAAAGTACCACGTCCTACAATATTTAGCTCTTTAAGTTCCGCTGTAATGACCAACATTCAAATACAGTAGCATAGTCGCCCCAAGTGTAAATAAAAGGTCTTATTCTGTCAGATATATTTAGTTTTCTTTTTTTGTAACCAATTGTAAGTGTCATCATGTACAAAATGAAGATTAATGCTGCGCCCAAATAAACAAGATTGTCACAAAAGTCATAAACTGGCATTAGGATGGATGGAAATAGGTGTGTCAAATCTCCGAAAGTACAAACTACTTCTTAACAAGTATCACGGAATTGCATGATGTTGGTCTTGTAACAGTAGATCAGAATGTCAAATTTATTGATAAACAGACTAGTGCATGAACAAAAATATTTCTGAGAAAGATGAGCTATATTAGTACACAATTCAGCAACACAATCAAACCAAAATTGGTCTCTCTCTATGTAACGGGATAACTTTAGCACACCTGCACAATTTAAAAGCCTGGTACAGTCTCGAATTTTAACATGTAAGCGACCCTTCACAGCAACGGAAAAAACAGCATGTCTGAGGGACACAAGTGAACTTGCGCAGTGCGTGGGGTTCTGTAATTAGTTTTCATGACTGGTCAACTGTTGCCGATTAGCTTTTTTTTTTTTTTTAGCCGATAGCAACTCTTTATTTTTCACCATTTTCCTTTCTTTGTATTATTATAATATGGCTACGTTTGTGTGTCTTCCATGAGATTCACGCCATGTTGATTGTGGTTCCGAAAATTAATTGTGGTGTCTCAATGCTGTTTTTCCCCAATAAGTTAATAACCTGCTCTGCCAAAACATTCTGAATTTTTTTCGAAATTCGAGAAAGCTGCTATGAATTAAGAGGTACCAACTTATTCAAAAAAAACTCAAAACAAGAACAAACATCAAGCAAAGAATTCAGTTGTTGCACAGTCCACTTAAAGCAAACCTCTTTCAGTAATGCTACTCCTGTTAGCTTGTTGTTGGCTGAAATGTGTTGCTGTCATCGTGCAGAGTTTCAAATTTAGATAGCCAGTGGTGGCTCACGCTTGTTCATACAAATACTTACGGGGGGAGGCGGAGGGGGCCATACTCAGTTAAAGAAAAAAAAAAATAAAATAGAAGTATCGATCAATTCAACTCCCATAATTGAGTAAAAGTGTGTGCGTGTGTGCGTGTGTGCGTGTGTGTGTGTGTGTGTGTGTGTGTGTGTGTGTGTGTGTATATATATATGTATATGTATAATATATATGTATATGTATAATTAATATTCATGCTGAAATGTAGTTAAATACAAAAGTAAAACATTTTCTTACTGTCAAATTACTTCTCTCTCGTGGGAGCGCGCGCACACACAAAACTTGAACAGCAACCACAGCTTTGCTGCAAAGCTCAATTAAATAATGTGTAATGTGTGTTTTTTCAGATTAGAGACTTATTTTTATGTTGAGTGACACTATCAGTTAGTGCAGTTATAGTTTACAGGACGACCTAGTTAGAGGGGTTGCTAATATTTGGAGACCTTGTTTAACCACACAAGATGAGCATAATATTCCACCGTTCATGCAGGGCACTATTGTAGTAGTTTACTACCACTCTGTGTCAGAATTTAACAGGAACACTTTCAAAGATTATTAAAAAGAAGTTAACCACTGTCAATGGACCAGAAATAGCTCAATCTCCAGTATATCTTCCTTTCTACTTTCATTATTTTTTAACTGTCACTTCAAAGGAGAGTTTGCGGTTTTAAAACTGTAAATAAGATTTGAATGTACCATGACTTCACTAGACCTCCGGTTGTAATGACTAATCAGGCATGGGTTACATTTTTACAAGCTCATTCAAGACATATGGAAAATTTGACTGAGTGACCCAAGTCGTATCATTAAAGCAAATTCAGCCGCACTAGAACAGGAGTTCAATATGGACTGACAATCTATTGCGTAGTTGTTGATGTCAGTTCATTAGACCCCATGTATGCTTTGGTCAAAACCGTAAGACTATACAATCATTGACATTTTACTTACATCGAACAAAGCTAACTACATCCAAACAACTTTCTCCTGTTTTTTTCCCCCTCTCCTGACACTGTGATTTCAGTGACTGAGTCATCGATTCCTAAGTGATGACCTCTTGATTAGGGATAGCGATGAGGAATGCAGCCCAGCTTGTCATTTCCGTGGTTTTGCACACAAAACCTCTGACAGCTTGTATCCCTCATTTAAATAGAGTTTTGCAGTTAGTGGAAGACGCAAACAAACATACTGAAACACAGAAAAGAAATCGATCACGCCGATAATTTGCGGCAACCCTGTAAGAGCAGTGCTTTGTATTATCTTACCCTGAGTGACCCCCCCCCCCCATATAAGAACTGTAGCGATACTTTTATGACACCATTGCTTAATTCTGCCGCTGTTGTGTTGTTGTTGTTTTTTTGTTTGTTTGTTTGTTTGTTTGTTTTTTAGCGGGAGAGTGGCTGATTTGGCCATCATGCGAGCGAGTGAAGAGGGTGGCAAAACTCAGTGCTTGCCGGATAGCAACCTCCTAGAGTTAATCATCCGTTTTAAAGACCCGAATTTGCACTCAGTTAAAAGTGTTGTCATTCCTGTTTACTCTTACGTATCTCTTCAAAGATGAAATTTGTTCCTCCCCGGAAGATATATGTCGTCTGGTGAAGTGGTATCACCGTGTTTTATTGATTCATTTTTACAAGCTTGAGTATAGCCGTATAGTCTTGGTGCAGCCCGAACAACAACCTCAGGGTCATTGAGACTTGAGTGTCTACATTTGACAAAGAATGAGAATTGAACTACGGTAGACGAGTTTTTGAAACAACGTTGACACCTTCCCCCCCCCCCTCTTTGTGTACTCAGAATAATGAATAATTCACCCCAACTTTCAAGAACGTGATTTTCAAAGCCTGTTATGTTTTTGATGCTTGTAGTACGATATGTACTTGTAGTCTGTGGCAGGTTGACTTCTCCCCGTGGTAAAAGGAAGCTTTGGCAAGCTTGTTGTTTCTTGGTGTCAGCCCCCTGGAAGAAAAAAAAAATAGCACAGCAAATCTCACAAGGGGAAAAGCTTGTTAGGAACATTTCACAGTACATACATACTATTCCCATATGAGCAACATATCTACAGGGCTGGTGCCTTACCTCATCAGGAGGCCTGTTTCATATATTTTGCATAGTTTATTTATAGATGTTGCTAAAATAGTTTGATTTCTGCTTTGAGGATGGTATCGGTGAAATTACTGAAGGTCAGATGTCAAAAAATGTATTGACGATGCTCATCAAACATGCAGTGTTGCATAAGCCCTCTTATGAGACGCCAAACACTTTATTCTTTCCATGTTTTGAGGCCTCTGCTTTTACTTGCGAGCAATACACTTAATGTCACTCTCAGACATGATGAAGAGATCCACAGGTGCATTAAGACCGTTCTAGTGAACAAAAGAAACACTGTCATTTGAACGCAACTCTTTCGAATGGTGACTTGCCTCTTTGATCACTAATTGTATACTCTGCGAGTACATTAAAGTTGTTCAAATCACTTTTACATTTATTTTAAAATGATGGACCGAATGTGAACGGCGATGTGAACACACAAAATGCTGCCTCACTCGTCTTGAGTTACACCCTGACCCTAACAGCAGTGACAATTTTAGTGACTAAGATGATTGGATATCAAAAGAATGTAAGTTACAAGAATGCCGCCTTGTTCTGCACTCAGGAGGAATTTTTGATTAAAACAGCTCTTGGTCGAGGCAGAATTTTAGTGTTCAACGCAACACGAGACTTGAAGACACCTTTTGTAAGGACTTCGGGTCATTTGAATGCTGTTGGATAACACTTGGCAGCTTGTTTTGGAGAAAGAGTTGTTCCTACCTGCCCTGACTTGAACATTTAGTCACAGCCTATTCTTAGGTTGTTTATAAACTGACAACTTGTCACATTGAGATATATGTTCCGTATTTTCCGGACTATAAGTCGCAGTTTTTTTTCATAGTTTGGCCAGGGGTGGGATTTATACTCTGGAGCGACTTCTGTGTGAAATTATTAACACATGATTGTCATTTCACATGTTGTTTTCACATTAAACCACAAGAGGGTGCTCTCGGCCTGTGTTGATAAATCGACGATGAGTCTGACGTAAGCGAGTAGAAGAGGAAGCGGCGCATCGTCTACCTCCCGAGTTGGGGGAGTTGTTTAAAAGTGACACCGAGGATGAAGATTTCATTGGATTTAGTGATTTGGAGTGAAACTGATAGTTTGTTTAACTTGTTCGCATGTTCTTTATGCTTGAGTTAGCTGAATAACTCTTAATATGTTACGTCGTTACTGACATTACCAGGGATGTCAGTCATGTAACGTTAGTATAACGTACACTTATTCAGCCTGTTCTCTATTTTATTTTTATCTTAAATTGCCTTTCAAGATGACATGTATGTTTTTGGTGTTGGATTTTATCAATTTCCCCCAAAAATGCAACTTATATATGTTTTTTCCTTCTTAATTATGCATTTTCTGGCTGATGCGACTTATAATCCGAAAAATACGGTAGTTTTACCTATTGTCCTTTTCGTACGGAAACATCCATGTTGTTACTTGTGCCCTTTGGCTAGCTTCCATTCATATCCTTCGTCTTTATTCCAGAATAATAATTATGCACAGCAATGGCTTTCACATTTGAACATTAACATCTTTGTAACATCCATCCATTCATCCATTCTTTGTTTAAAAACAAAACAAAGGCAGAAGTAAAGACAGTTGAGCACAAGGCCCACCTAACCTTCTTCGTGTTACAAAATGTAAAGTATGTAAAAGTATCACCAGCTGAGACCTGTGTCCAGAAATTATACACTTTTATTCTCTGATTATCCCACTGATTAATCAAGTGACTAACTAAATTATTGGTGAGTGACATGGGCGCCAGCATACGAAAGTTCATCATCGACTGAGTCTTTTGTATTTGGTGTGACCCGGTGTGAGTTGTGGCAATGGGCAGCTTGTGTATGAATGTGATTATTATGTGTTTGTTTTCTTACTATTTGTACAATAGAGCAATTGAAAATTGCACTGATGGCTTTGTCTATCCTTTAGCACTTGCACGGGCATTACAATACTTCGTAGCGAGTGATATTAGGCTGTATTAAATTAAAACATCTATTTGCTACCTTGTGTTGGCTCGTTGCTGTTGTGCTGCACATTATGAGAAGATCAACCAATTATTACACCTATGCCAAGCATCTGTGGTCAAACGTTTTTGTTTGTTGATTAGTTTTGTTTTGTTTTTTTCATTTTGGGAGGCTTGAGGGACACTATTTAGCTACGCGGTGAGTGTGGAATTCTTGTGAGAATTTTCTGGCACTTCTTCTGTGGTGTGGAAATCAATTTGGAAATGCCGGATTTGCTTACATTTACTCCGGCAGCTTAATTGTGTTTGGCAGACTACCAATTGAAAGGCATCATGGCAGTGAGACCAAGTGTACTAATTGATGGTTATTATCAACTGTAGTTATTGTTTTTTCAGCTCATAGTTCATTTTCTCACAATCTGTGATGTGATATTTTTTGATAAGTGTTTGATTTTATAGATAGTTATTACACTGCTTTTTTGTTTTGTATTTGACTGGGTGTTGGTGTCAATAATAACAGGAGAATTTAAACTCAACACGTGAACTACGTATAAATACTAGAAGCCGGTCTTTATTTATTTATTTGTTTATTTTTAGTCTGATGCTGATTTTTGGTGTGTGTTATAAATAATGAAACAGTGTTACTTGTGTACCACTGCTGTAAATAGTTAGAGTACACAAAAGTAAAAACAATAGGCAAACATCGGCCATCTGGCCAATTACTTTGGCTAATGTTTGAAGGGCCATAATAGGCCGATTTAATCACATGGCTGATTAATCGGCCGAGCCCTAATAAATACATCTACCTTTACCCATGGCATGAAGCCCGTTTGCTGTCAGAAGCTGACCAAGGGTTTGTGATTTCATGTTTCCCACTGCACTGTGAAATGAAACTGTCCCAAAAATCAGTTGTCATCTCTTAAAATCAGTTATTCCTCATACCATCTGCGTGCAATGTTGGACATTGTGTTTTATACCTGGTGTTGAAGTTTGCCAACCTTTTTTTTTTTTTTGCCATGTCTGTCCCAGAGAATGCCAGCTCCGATCAGATTGCGGGAGCTGATCCGGACTATCCGGACAGCGCGGACCCAGGCAGAGGAGCGCGAAATGATCCAGAAAGAGTGTGCTGCTATCCGCTCATCTTTTCGAGAGGAGGACAATACATATCGTTGTAGAAATGTGGCAAAGCTTCTTTATATGCACATGTTGGGCTACCCGGCCCACTTTGGGCAGGTAAGTTACCGGCATTGTATGCAGAGTATGATACCAATGGACACCTGGTAATATCATGACTATAAATCGCCTGTCCTTGTGTGTGCTTTTTTTGTTTTTGTTTTTTTTCAGCTTGAGTGCCTAAAGCTGATTGCATCCCAGAAGTTTACCGACAAGCGAATAGGTTATTTGGGAGCTATGCTGTTGTTGGACGAGAGACAGGATGTGCATCTATTAATGACGAATTGCATTAAGAAGTAAGCTGCGACTTGAGCCTGAGTGTGTCCAATAGATCTTCTGCTGGGAAATCTGTTGTTATTCTTCATAGCGTGTCTGTAGTCTCTTGAAGCTTTCTGAGGTGTCTGTCTGGTTAACACAACAAAGACGCATACAGTAAACGATGCTCTCTGGAATTGTTGAATGTCATTGTGCTATGTTATCCCTCAGTGACTTGAATCACAGCACACAGTACGTCCAGGGACTGGCGCTCTGCACTTTGGGCTGCATGGGCTCCTCAGAAATGTGCCGTGACCTGGCGGGAGAGGTTGAGAAGCTGCTCAAAACATCCAACTCTTACTTGAGGAAAAAGGTGAGCGGCGCGTCTATGAACTGGGACACATATGATTAAAATAAATGCGGTCTCCAGCATGAACACCTCCTCTCCTCTTTCCTCGATTGTCTTCTGCTACACAGAGATTTCATGTGCTTCTGTTTTGTGTAATACTCAAATCGTGTCATAAATAAATGTCAGAAATCAGCCAGCGAAAAAATATGCTCTAAAATGCAACTTGAAAGCTCTGCAAATCACTGGAATTGAATTTAGCCATTTAAGAGAACAGAACAACACAAGTAGAATGCCAGAACAATACAAGTTTTGGACTACATTTTAGCGAGTTGAACCACCTATACTGATGTGAGTGTAGTCACCAGACAGTCTAAAATGTTTGTTTTGCTGACAGGCGGCGCTGTGTGCAGTTCACGTCATCAGAAAGGTTCCAGAACTCATGGAAATGTTCCTTCCAGCCACAAAAAACCTGCTGAGCGAGAAGAACCATGGTGAGTGTAAACGGTTTGTTAAGATGTGTTTTGTGCCTGCCCTTCACCAATGCGCTACTCATCCTGTTCCCTGCCACTCACTGCGCTGTGCTCTACCCCGTTTGGTGTGTGGCCTTCACAAGGCAGAGTGGAATTAATGAGGACAAACTAAAAAATAAATAAATAGAACTAAATACTGATTCAGTTAGTGATTCAGTGATTCCTATTGAACATTCTTCTTGAAGATTTAAGAAATTTGGATGATTAATATTGAGCATTCTACTTGCAGACTTTGTCAAGTTCTACACGCTACAGATATAACAAATTGAAAGATTTAAAAAAGTAGTTTCCTCTGAAATACCAGGGCTGTGCTGTGAGAAATCATTATTCAAGAGCATTAAAATTGTTTTACACCAGCATTTATAAGCACAAAGCCATTATAGAAAATGTACAGAAAATTAAACAGATTCAAATTCAGATGTTCTAATATTTGAAGTGGACATAGGCAAGTTTCATTCTTATGTAATAAAGACACAAATCGATGTTTTGTTTTCCCGGCTTACGGCAACTGGTAGCGAGGAAAAACACGCGGCTTCACAAAGTCATCAAATAATTGCATTTACCTTTAAATCAATGTAATTCATGGTCCAAATAATCCACTTTTTGTCCATACACTTGTGACCTACATTGATTAATCAGTCTTCCGATCAGTGAATGTTTCTTCATCATTCATTATTTGCTCGAAATGTTACACAGTGAGTGGAGACACAAGTTCTAAACATGGCCTGGCGAAACCTTTTGTTATTGGTTGTTTGGCTGCATACTTATAACCAGACACAGAGCAGCTCATTCGAAGACCGAAGTGCAGATTCACTTCAATGGACAGCAGCACCATCCATCTTATAGCGTTCTTTTCTCTCGCTCGCACTCACTCATGATAACCCAGCTGCATAATTTGCGTTCCTCTTTGTAAATGATCGGTTGACACAAATGGCATGTAAATCTCAAGCTCCTGTGTAGAATATTGGAACCGCTGCTATGTTTTGTTTCAAACTCATCTCCAATTAGCCATGACAGAAGTTTTATTGCCTTCATTCACAGCTGCATAAAACACCAATGCGCTCCCACAATTTTTTTTTTGTTGTTTTTGCGCGCACCACCCCTTCCCGTCAGCATAATGACCTGAAGTTTGTTTATGCTCTAGGTGTTCTCCATACATCTGTTGTCCTCCTTACCGAGATGTGTGAGAGAAGTCCTGACATGCTGTCTCACTTCAGAAAGGTACAAACCCAGTCTGTTTAAGTCAAGATATTTATCTATGATCCTGCTTGTTTGATGTTTTTTCTCAAGTCGGTTTTAATGGCACCCCTGCATGTTATTTAGTAGATGGTCGCGATGCAACAAGTAATTCATAAACTCAAATAATTAAATGACAAAAAAGGTTTGAAAACATCTGCCTCAAAATTTCACAGGGATGATTTTTTCACACCTAATGTTATTGCAGTCGCACACACCACTCTATGTAGAAATAAGTTAAGCAATGCCGGCAAGCCAGAAATAAAGACTGCGTAAAAGGCAGCTTTCGATACCGTTGCAGCTACAGATAATAAAAAGCTATTTTTATGAGGAAAAGCAGAGTTTGCCTGATGAAAATGTAATTCCGGCACACGATCGAATTGTTAAAAATCTGGCCCGGGGCCAGACATTGTTGCCGATTCCTGCTCTACACTGTCATTCGCTGAAGTCAACGTCACTCACCGGGTCTTGACCTACCTTTTAAAGCCTTACAAACTCAGTCACAGATACTACAGTAGAATGTGAGGATGGCGACTCCAAGTGGACAAATGATACATGTACCTCACATGCACTTCATATTCTGTTTAAAAAAATCCGAATACAATTATTGTCGCATTCATCGATGTGATCATCTAGAGACTACTCAATTTAAAAAACACTTGACAGCCACAACCCAAAAACAAAGCATACTATTGTGCCCCGTATCCCGTTCTACATTTCGGACATTAAGTTGCTTGTGTGCCTACCTCTCCTCAAAGCAGTATTTAGTGCCTGCATTTGTACTCTGCATTTGGATTTAGCGGAATAAATTCATGTCACACTTAAAGTGTCATACTCGATGCCTCCCTTGTGTTCACATTTTCATCTTGCAGTTTAAGTGGGCACGCGTGAGAGAAAGTCAATGGCAAAGCCTCGGCACAGCCGAAACATGCACATGCAGCTGTTTTCAGGTCACGTGCAGCATAAAAATATGCGTGTGATGGAAGTAGAAAACTGGATGTCTGCGCACTGCATTAACATCTCCCACCACTAAAATGACAGAGGCAATGATTCACCAGGCAAGCCCATTAAGGCAAAGAGAGAAATATTAATCCCGTGTGCCTATACCCACCTCTCCACTACCTACCAAATTAAAGTGGCCCAAGTGAAATTCTGGCTCTTAAGTCACACACTGTAAGACAACACGAACACCTGGGATGTTGACTGAATTATGCGTCCGTATTTTAGCTTTCTTTTGCTGTCTTTTTTTTTTTTTTTTTTTTTTTTTTGGCTTGTACTCTTTCACTTGCTGCTGTCGACTCTCGATGCAGCAAAAACTATGCCTGAAGCGCCACCCCTCATGTTCATGATCTACTTATTTTGAGCTCTCTGAAAGTGAATGATTTTCCACTCCCTAACATCTACCTCATATTTTTTCTGTCATTTGTCCTTGTTACAATTCCTGCATTGTGTTAGAATGAGAAGGTAAGAGTGCATTCTGATCTCATAGCTGGTGCATGCTGTAATTAGTATTCAGTCTTCACAGTCACCTGAGATGTAACCAATCTGTCCTGTAATTCATGGTGCTTCTGTTTTGCTCCTCAAAATGGTTTTAATTTGGATTTATCTTGTACGGTGATCATTGCAATGTCTTTGTTATCAATAGTATCCAATACACTGTTTCATTTGTCAGCTGCAGTCCTCATCCAATTCTTTTTTTTTTTTTAATCTGATTTGCCAAATATGCAACTCATTTCGTCACTCTTGAGTGGGTTTATTTTCACGACTGTCACGGGTGTTATGTGCAGGAACTGATACTATTCACAATGTTTGTCACTGAGGTTGTTTCCATGTACACGTATTTACAAAGATAACGGCCTGAGGTGTGTAAATATGGTGAAATGTTCGCCTGAGCAGTTAAAACTACAGCAACAATGCCAATGTTAAATTACGGCAGGAGATTAGTTTTATTTTGGGTTGTTTGTCACCATTCCCACAATATCTGTAAATTGTGTGTATCCAGTGCACTTCATTTATTCTGAAAACCGTGACACAAAACTTTGAATTAGTTCTCAAAAGTAGACCACCTGAAGATTGATACAGTATTTCTTTTTGCTTCTAACAAAATCTAATTCAAAAATAACAGTTATCTTGACTAAATCTTCATAATGTAGTGATGCTGTTAGCTAACTCATGTTCATGATCTACTTATTTTGAGCTCTCTGAAAGTGAATGATTTTCCACTCCCTAACATCTACCTCATATTTTTTCTGTCATTTGTCCTTGTTACAATTCCTGCATTGTGTTAGAATGAGAAGGTAAGAGTGCATTCTGATCTCATAGCTGGTGCATGCTGTAATTAGTATTCAGTCTTCACAGTCACCTGAGATGTAACCAATCTGTCCTGTAATTCATGGTGCTTCTGTTTTGCTCCTCAAAATGGTTTTAATTTGGATTTATCTTGTACGGTGATCATTGCAATGTCTTTGTTATCAATAGTATCCAATACACTGTTTCATTTGTCAGCTGCAGTCCTCATCCAATTCTTTTTTTTTTTTTAATCTGATTTGCCAAATATGCAACTCATTTCGTCACTCTTGAGTGGGTTTATTTTCACGACTGTCACGGGTGTTATGTGCAGGAACTGATACTATTCACAATGTTTGTCACTGAGGTTGTTTCCATGTACACGTATTTACAAAGATAACGGCCTGAGGTGTGTAAATATGGTGAAATGTTCGCCTGAGCAGTTAAAACTACAGCAACAATGCCAATGTTAAATTACGGCAGGAGATTAGTTTTATTTTGGGTTGTTTGTCACCATTCCCACAATATCTGTAAATTGTGTGTATCCAGTGCACTTCATTTATTCTGAAAACCGTGACACAAAACTTTGAATTAGTTCTCAAAAGTAGACCACCTGAAGATTGATACAGTATTTCTTTTTGCTTCTAACAAAATCTAATTCAAAAATAACAGTTATCTTGACTAAATCTTCATAATGTAGTGATGCTGTTAGCTAAATATGTTCTTCTAACCAAATATTTCTCTACAAAGCATTTGGTTTGACATATCAAGAGAGATTCATTTTGATTGTTTTTACTTTTTAACTCCTAACCCTTCCATTTTGTTCTTGATAGCTGCTAATGATAATAATCCACATCTAAAATTGTATTTTTCCTGTCAGTATTGATGCAAGCTATTGGGATATCCGAATAAATATTGTGACACCACCTCTTTTCTCTTTTGATCTTGGTCTTTTGTTCTAGCTGGTTCCACAATTGGTGAGAATCCTGAAGAACCTGATCATGTCTGGATACTCACCTGAGCATGATGTGTCGGGCATAAGCGATCCTTTTCTGCAGGTAAAACTCCTTAGTCTGTCTCACCTGGATGTCGCTTTGTACTTAGAAACGTAATTTCTGGCCCTGTTGTTTGGTGTGCTAGAACCAAGTGAATTGCATTGACAAATTGTTTTCCTTTTCTTAGGTGCGGATATTGAGACTACTGCGAATTTTAGGCAGGAGTGACGACGACTCCAGTGAAGCAATGAATGACATTCTTGCACAGGTTAGAGTTGGTTATCTCCTTATGTAACAATTTTTGTGAATTTGTTTTTGGTTTCTTATTTTCAACTCAGCTATGACATTTCCTTATCACACCACACATTTTCCCTTTTCTCTGTGCATCAGGAGTCTTTCTAGCCGCAGACACACACAGTTACAGCTGTGGTAACTTGTTTTCCAGAATGAGAAATAATGGCGAGCAAAGGGAACAAAATGAAATTGTCACAGAAGGGGACAATCACACCGGAAGAAATGCTGAATGATGATACATAGAGTGATCCATCGTCTGAAAGACTGTTGATGCTTTATATTGTCTGACAGCATTCATCATTTTGTTGTGGATAGGACTCTGACATTCATCAGTCCATACATAAAAATATCAATTTCCTCGAGTTAGCATTGTTGCCGTGCCCTTTAACATGGCCTTAAAATGAAATGTTTGAGTGTGACCTGTTTTCACAAAAATCAAATACCTGAATAGGGTTAGGACTCCCACCAAATGTGTCTCAAGTTGAGTTTAACAATGATGTACTGCATTATTCCTGGCCGCAGGTTGCAACAAACACTGAGACAAGTAAAAATGTAGGCAATGCAATCCTCTATGAGACCGTGTTGACCATCATGGACATCAAGTCTGAAAGTGGACTGAGGGTGAGCTAATTGATTTCATCCAAACCTGAAAAAGAACATTTAAGTTTGTTTATTTATCTATTTATATCTACTATTCTGACACCTAACTCTTTTGTGTTACAGGTTTTGGCAATTAATATATTAGGGCGATTCCTCCTTAACAATGACAAAAATATAAGGTATTCGAATAGCTGACTCATAATGCCAAAGCTGAGAAGAGCACAACAGAACTACTAACATGAAGCCATGTATTTTTCATATTCACAATTGCAGATATGTTGCATTGACATCCCTACTAAAGACGGTACAGACGGACCACAATGCAGTACAAAGGCATCGGAGCACCATTGTGGATTGTTTAAAAGACCTGGATGTGTCCATAAAGAGGTAAGCAGGTGATTTTCAGGATTTTGACATCAAGGACATTCACCTATTCACTTTTTTACATAACAGTTTTGTTTCTGTCCTTGATCTACTTCCCCGTTAATGCTGTAGACGTGCAATGGAGCTGAGCTTTGCCCTGGTGAACGGCAACAACATAAGAGGCATGATGAAAGAGCTGCTCTACTTCCTGGACTCGTGCGATCCCGAATTTAAAGCCGACTGTGCATCGGGAGTCTTTCTAGCAGCAGAAAAGTATGACATTGACATACACTGTTCAGTTTATAGCTATTATTGTTCTCCGTTTTTGTCACTACAATGCCAAATATTGCACCCAAGGACTTAGCAAATGTGTTTTCTTCCAAGTCAAAAGAAATGCTGTGTGATGATAACAAGAGTGATCCATCGTCTGAAAGACTGTTGATTCTTTATATGATCTGACAGCATTCATCAGTTCATCACCCTGTTGTATTGTGAGTAGAAACCTTAACGTTGGCTGCAATATCAATGCGTCCTTTGTGTTACAGGTATGCCCCTTCAAAAAGATGGCACATAGACACTATAATGAGAGTTCTGACTACAGTACGTATAAGCATACATTACACCCAAGTTCTCATTAAAAATGAGTACTAGGAGTCAATTCTACCTGAGACCTACATGTCTGTATTCTAATCAGCATGTCTGCTCCTCTTTGCAGGCAGGCAGTTATGTGCGCGACGACTCTGTGCCCAACCTTATTCAGCTCATCACAAACAGTGTTGAGATGCACGCATACACAGTGCAGAGACTCTACAAAGCTCTTCTCGATGACATTTCACAGGTCAGAACTGGGACCCAGCTTCCTGACGTACTATAATTATTATGCAGCGTTTTTAGGCAAGAGTTGGATTCTTGTTTCTCTCTGTGTAGCAACCGCTCGTCCAAGTCGCATCCTGGTGCATAGGAGAGTATGGAGACCTACTGGTTTCTGGACAGTGTGAGGAAGAGGAGCCCATTCAGGTACATGTTGACGACTCTTAACATTTGAGTAATGGTAAACACCATAGGCAGACATATCATGCAACTGATCCTGCTGTTACCCTATAAGCAAGTATCTGAATACAAACTGTGCAGTAACACCCATAGACAAAGAAAAACAATACTCACAGGCATATATTCTTTTTCCTCTCGGAAGAATGACTGATATTACTCCCGTATTGAGAATCTGAGTCTCGAGTACAGTATATCCAGATGTGGGCATTCTGTCCATAATAACGGAAGGTCGGTTGATCTGTCACTGGCGGACGCTCATTTTGCTGACGAATGATGGGGGAAACTTAAAAAAAAAAAAACGATGGACGATGGACAGAAGTGGGTTTTCGTCCGTCACTAGACTCGTCATTGACCAGGTTAATACCGACGTACCTTCTCAGTCAGTAGCTGACAGACTCCCGTTCCGCTGACGTCTGACAGAAACACACGCCACTGACAAAAAAATGACAATGACGGTGTGACAAACTAACATTATAGTTTTTGTTCAGCTTGAAATAATGACTGAGTGACAATGACAGATGACCACTTAGGAATGACGGACTGGCAAAATTAACCGACACGCCCAGCTCCGAGTGTATCCATACATCTCCTTCACTGTTGGCCAAAGTGCACACACCAGAATGAGCAGCAGAATGTGCGTAGAAGCTAGAGACTGGAACCAAAACTGTTTGTTTTGATGGGGTATAATATTATAGCCGTATCAGCAGAAGCACCTTTCCAACGCGGATGACATGCAATCATTCCTTCCTTATCTAAATAAGGTGAGTGAAGATGAAGTTCTGGATGTGCTGGAAGGGCTTCTAGTATCCAATCTGTCCACGCCTGTGACTCGAGGCTATTCTCTTACTGCCATCATGAAGCTGTCTACTCGTTTCAGTGGTGTCAAGTGAGTCACTGGATTTAACACTATACATAATGAGGCTTTGCCGTCGTGAACTAATTTGGAACAACATGCACCCGTGCAATTTCCTGCATCATTCAATTTTCTTCTAGCCGTATCAAGAAGGTGGTTTCAATATATGGCAGCAGCATTGATGTTGAGCTGCAACAGAGAGCAGTGGAGTACAACGCACTTTTCAAGAAATACGACCACATGAGGTGAAGTGGAAGCTAAACCAAAATACCAAAAACAAATAAAATGGGCCATTTATTGGGATTGGCCTCTAATGTAGTGGTTCAGTATGGTTCATCCTCCACTGCGTGTCTCCCCCCCTCAGGCCCGCTCTCCTCGAGCGAATGCCCATTATGGAGAAAACAGCCACGAATGGCCCCACAGAAATCGTGCAGACCAATGGAGAGACAGAACCCTCCGTTGGGGAACCGAAACATCCACCCCCTGTTAGTCAGCCAGCCAACCAGGTTAGCGACATTCTCCTAAATCAAAGTGGAACACTTAATTTTGCAGTGAATCCTTAATTGAAGCACATGTAAATACTGAAGAGAGTCATTCCTTTGACGCGTATCCCTCGCAGGCAAATGATTTATTAGACCTGCTGGGTGGCAATGATATGGTGCCAGTAATCCATACGACAGTGCCCCCCAAGCCTACGTCGTCTGGAGGAGAGCTGCTGGACCTGCTGGGTGACATCTCACTAAGTGGTAGGATACTCCAAATCTTACTCGTTCAACATGTGGGAGTTACTATGCGTGTTTTCATTTCAAACAAAAGCACGTTGTTACTCAACATCAAATGTTATTCATTTCAGTCCACATTAGTATAAAGAATGCTGTATAAGTGATATTTTGTTTGTTCATCTCCATTAGCAACACCAGATCTTAAACAGGTTTGCAGGTTAATTTCCTGGCTGAGCCTATTTAAAAGGAAATAACTTGAGGTTTTTCCACATTATTTGTACAGTCGCAATTTTCACGCAGTCTGGCGAAAAGAAGAATATTTTTGCTGATGAAAAGCACAAACTAATTCAATATCTTGCGACAGGAATAAAACACTGGACATCTCAATTTGTTGCTGTAGTGATGTTTTGGGTTGGAATAATGGAGAATGAATTATTTTCGGTGCCTGGAGATGTCAAAAAGACCTCTACAAAATATGAGCAGTTTCTAACTGACCATATCCTGCAATAGTTTAACAAGTCTTCTGAAGTAAAATAATGCACATGCAAGAAAACGTACCATTTCATACTGCACAGCTGGGTTCTAGAATCAGTATCGGGGGCCAAAAAATTGTATTGAACAACACTAGTTGATCGATGGATACCTCCAAAAAAAAAAAAAAAACTCTTAGAAATTATTCAGAGACTTCAAGTTAAGTGAAGATGAAATCAATGATGTGATAGAAAACATAATTTCTTTCAGAGTTATTTATAACCTATTATACTAGTATATATTATAGTATTTTAGAAATTGCTCTGCATAATCATTTGAATTGGTGTATTTTGAGGATGCTTAATTTCCAAACTATACCGTCATTGCTGGTATAACTCCATGTTGTTATAGGACGTAATATAATTGTTGATGATAAAACATGTTTTCAGTGTCACTTTTGAGGAAAATAAAAACTGCAATATGTCTACTAATTTGGAACACAGTGTAAGGTAGGAAACACCAGTACAGTACATCATGGATTCTGTGTTCACGGTTGCTCTGTTATGTGTTACTTTTTGTCCAGATAACTCTTCTGTTTAATTCCACTTTTGGCCACAAGATGGTGGCACACTAATGTGTGTAACACTGTAAAATTGAAAGAGGAAGACTGAGAAGGAAGTATTTCAAGCTCAGTCTCATTTTTCCTGAAGCGATGAGGACAAGATTAATGAACGTCTTCCTCCTCTCCCATCCTGGGTTTTATGCCTACAGAAAGCAACAACTGTACTTTCATCTTTTTAATATACACCTTTGGGAAAAAAAGGAGTGACAAATGCAATAAAAACATGCCAAGAGATGTTAGAGGCTACACTGTTCTAGATAGCATGTCCTTGAGCATCCATTTCCGAATTGGTCATGGTGCATCAAATTCTGATGTGACCTTCCCCTCCCAAGGCGCTCCAGCCCCTGCTCCTGCTCCCTCTGTACCCACCTCCCAACCCCCTTTTCTCCTGGATGGCCTCGCCTCACAGCCCCTCTTTAATGACATTGCAACTGCAGGTGAGACTCTTCTTGTCTCTTGTACCCTCTGCACCACATTTGAAATGATCATTTACAAACACTTCCTGGTCTGAAAATTTCCTGCAGGTATTCCTCCTATGACGGCCTACAACAAGAACGGCCTGAAAATAGACTTCACGTTTGAGAGGGCAAACCCTAACCCCAACGTCGCCGTCATCACCATCCACGCTTGCAACTCTACAGAGGCAGACATGACAGACTTTGTTTTTCAGGCTGCAGTACCAAAGGTAAGCCGGCATAGTCACCGTCAACAAATCTGCCGACATGGTTTTAACTCGTTTGGTTGGCTCATTTTGACTGGCATGTTCAGTGCAGTGTTTTTTTTTTTTTTTTTTTTTTTACATGCTTACATGTCTAAAGGTTTTGTTGTTCACATAAATATGTTTTGTTTGTTTTTGTTTTGTTTTTTTCAGACATTCCAGCTGCAGCTCCTGTCCCCCAGCAGTAATGTCGTCCAAGCACTCAACCAGGGAACTGTCACACAAGTCATCAGAGTCCTCAACCCACAGAAAGTTAGTGCACTTTATCTAGTCTGAGTTGGATGTTGTGTTTAAAAAGTCTATACACCCCTGGTCAAATGGCAGTTTTTTCTGGTATTTAAAAAAGTGGCAAGGATTTCAAAACCTTTCCACCATTAATGTGGCATATAACCTGTACAACACACTTTGGGGGAAAAAAAATCTTTTAGAGATTGAAGTAAGAAACTTGAGATCATGTGGTCGCAGAAATGTGCACATTCCCCTTCTGGGGATGTTGGTGTGTTCAGAATTAACCAATCACATTCAAACTTGTTCAATGGGAGTCAGCACCCACCTGCCACCATTTTGAGTGGCTTTGATTAACCCCAAATGAAGTTCAGCTGTTCTGTTATTTTGCTTTCATGATGATGCCTGACTACGAATTCAAACCGTCCGCATTACTTTGCACCTTTTCTTAGGCTCCACTTTGAATTGGAGAAAAATAGCTCCAAAGCCTGGTTGACTGCCCCAACCAATCTTCACCGCTGCCATGGTGGTAGTTTTGACGATGAGCAATATTGTGTCTGTCGAACAACCTTTTGTGGTTGTACTTGCCAGAAATGACTGCAGCTCCTTCATTGTTGCTATTGGCCTCACAGCATCACTAGTTATAATCCCGTCTTTTCTTCAGTTTGGGAGTTATGTCCAGTTCTCGATAATGTCACTGCTGTGCCGTATTTTCTCCCTGATGATTTGGTCAGTTGAGTTGAGTAGGTCACATTCTTGGTGGAAAAAGTTTTGAAATGTTGATGGGATGTAAAAATTGTTGTCATTTGTTATATCTCAAAAACCTGGCATTTGAATTGGAGGGTGGGGGGTAGACTGTTTCTATGCAGTGTATTTGCACTCCTCATGAGAAACCACTGTTCCCGTTTTCAGCAACAGCTACGAATGAGGATCAAGCTGACATACAACCACAAAGGTTCGCCTGTGCAAGACCTGGCCGAAGTCAATAACTTCCCCCCACAGTCGTGGCAGTGATGAGTTGCTTCATTTACTCCTAAAAGCCCCTCCGACGGGGACTATGATTTTTTTTTTTTTTTTGGCCTCGCACCTCTCCCTCCCACCTTCTCATCTTCCTTTTTTCCAACGGACTCCCCCTCAGTGACATCACAAAACGCGCAGCTGAGCGTCTTTAAAGATGGAAAAACCAGTTCAGATGAAGAGCCATTCGATAAGCGGGATTACATGTTGGTGAACTTTCTCGTTTCTTTCTTGACTGGTGTCATCATCTCTTTTGTTAGTCGTGCGACTTTTGTTTTTCCACTCTCACTTGAACACTGTACTAAATGACATGAACTCACTTTGATAAAAGGAATATTTATGATTGCGCTGAGCCTTTTAAAGCCCTAATAATGCAATCCTCAGATAATTCACTGAGTGACCTTCCTCAATTCATGCCTGAAAAGCCGTCTCAGAGATGTTGTATTTCATCACTGTCGGGTGGAATCCTCGTATCTCCAAAATGACTGCTTTTCAGGAAATAAACCAACAAAAAGGCCATTTTGCTTGCCTCACCAAACAAAGCGTCGTTCAACCTGGTATTGTACCTTCTTTTATGATCAACACAACACCGTCCCAAAAGCATGTTCAATCTGTAATTGCATTTGCTAAACCGCTAATTGATGACTGTTACTGTTTAGAATGGTCCAGACATGTTGCTGCCAGCTAGCCGTGCACGTCAAAAGTCGAACCAACAACAAAGACTTTACAAAGTCACAACCACAAGAGGTTACATCATTGTCCCACATTTTTTTCACCCCAGAGGCCATGAGTGATGTCATAAATAAAATGAGAACCTGACAAAGCAAAGTAATCCGCGAAACTTTGTGACAGAGCAGTTCCTTCTGAAACATGACAGCGAACCATTTTCAACAAAACGTCTTATGTGAAATGTAGCCATTTCACTCGTTATTGTTCATTCAAAACACATCCAGACTTTGAAACTTGAGGCGACATAATACTGCGCAGCTCCCATGGAGTTAGAAGGAAGCTCAGAATGTTGAAGTGTACAAGAGATTTAATAGATTTTTTTTCTCAAGCTAATTCAAAAACTAAACTGATTAACAATACGTGAGTAATAAGACGCTGTTGTGACAGACCATTTTATGAAGAAAAAAAATTTTGAAATTCACCATATTTGGACGTAAGAGTTTTCAGCCCGACAGCGACAATGTACAACTTGTACCTGCATCTTTCTTTAAGAGGTACACTAATCGGACAATGTGAAAAATGTATGACTTTTCCAGACATTTTGAGAGAGTCATAATTATGATGTGTAAACCACAATTCCTAATTATATATATATATATATATTTTTCCCCCTGTGTGGCCCGAATGCAGTAAGCTGGTCAGTGAGACGCATTTGTTTTACCCGGTTGCGCTTCTTACCTCGCACAAACTTATGTAAATGAAGCCTCTTATGAATGTAGTTAAATGCACTGAATGCTGTTCTCCCTCATCTCCTTATTTCTTCTCCATCGATGAGTCGGTCATCACATCGGCACTATTTCTGTGAAAGTTTGTTTGATTTCTGCAGTAAATCGACTTGATTATTTATGCCTGATATCAAAGTGACGTGCCTTTCTGACTTGACATGAGAAAAGTTCAGTTAGCCTGCTTGAGTGCTTGAAAGTGAGGGACGTGATCGCGCTGGATTTGAAATGCTGTCATCTTTCACCTTATTTCAAGCATGTTTGTTTTTCACTCTGTGGTGGGCTTTGCCCGATCTCCACAATCTCCACAAATTCTCATCACATGATCCCGATTGTCCCGCGATCACGTTGCTGAGCTTCATTTATGGCCTGAAGGGCCCCAAACAAAGTAAATTGGGGGGCGGGGGGGGGGCAGCTAATAGGATATCACCTTTTTCATAGGATAGCATCAAGTGTTGTCGCAAAATCTCATTAAGATCCACTGTCCCGTCCGTCCCAGTCTTCAGATTTACCGATTCATCGAGTGAGGACTGTTTAGCCGTACAATTTCTCGGCTCTGGTCTTTTCTGTCAGGGGGAGGCTACCGTTGATACCTCACAATGTTTTCTCTTTCTACTAACTTGTCGGAGTGGCTGGCAAGCAAGGGACGCACAGCTGCATGAACGAATCTGACAGCCATTTGTCCATGTGCGGCAATACAAGTTAGCGATGAACGACCTTCGCGGCCCCACGACGCTTTGATAGTCAATCACTATGCTTCATTATCTAACTCCTGTGACCAAAATCAGAGAGACTATTAGCTTTGGAAATATTTTTCAGCAACGATATGTGTATATGGAGGAAAATAATTTCACTTTTTTTCCGTTGTTGACAAATGCTATATTAGCTTTTTTTCTGTACATACTGAGGGCTTTTACGATTTTTTTTTGTCTCTTGTACTATCTTTCATCCTTTTTTTAGATACCATTTTCTAAACCAATTCTTCACTATGTATATTGTCTAAATAGTCAACCATAGACGACATCAGGCTTACTTACCTGTATCACCACTCATCCATTGTAAAAGGTATATGATCTGCTCCCTGTACATTGTATATAATTGTAAAACAAACAAAAAGGCTGATCCACTTAAATAAAAACCCACATGAAGACTTCAAGGATTAGCTGGAAGCATCGAATGGTATGCATATATGTACAAAAGATTCTTAAACGGATGCATTTGATGGACTCGGCTTCATACTTAGCTCACGGGTGTCATGTTTTTACGAAGATGGCTGCCGAGGCTTGTCGTTGGGGTTTGCTTATAGTGAGTGAATGGGGGAACTGTACTACTGAGAAACGGCAACGCTGCACTAGTAAGCTTCCACAATGCGTCCCCGTTTTCCTTCGTCTTCACCTTTGTTGTTGGCCCCGTGTGCGCAACTATTTAAATGTTGATTTGCTATTTGAGTGTGTTCTTTTTAAAACCTTACTTGACACCTGTACTATAACGGTGGCCCCAAAATCGATGCCAAGTCAATAATTCCCAGCCCCCCCCCCCCAAATTGTTGCATGTATCCTCTATTTTATTCCATTTGAAAGGAAAGCCGTCTTGAGCATTTCTTCGATATCAAGCTTCAAGCTGAATGTACTAGTTCTCTCTTTGTCCTCACTAAGATGACAATCCAGCACACCGGCCGAACAAATGTTTTGTGCTGCACTAGTAACATTACTAGGCCAGTAGTAGTACTATTAGCAACCAATGTCAACTAGGGCACAGTTTTGCCTCACTAGTAACATGCAGTTTTTGCTTGGATCCAGAAATTCCACACATTTGGGTGCTGAATTGTCTCACGCCATCGTGAATAAATGTTCTATACCCTTGATGACCATCTTAAGGTCCACGTACTAGTATGCTCTTTGTCCACATAAGTAGGACAACTGTATGTTACTAATGAGGCTAACCTATTCACTAGACAACTGTGTGCTCCTTGTGACATCAAATTCTATTTGTTCTGAGCATCTGAAAAACACTAATACCAGATGCATTTTTTTTGGGGGGGGGGTTGCGCAGGTGCTAATTCCCAATACTAGTCAACTGCACGCTATGAGATACATAGACGACAAAAAGGTAGATAGAATGCAGACAAGATAACTAGTCCATGTTTAAAATCAGTGTCATAGCAATTAACCCCCCCCCCCCCCCAATTGTTTTATTTGGAGGCCAATTTTGTTAGGATCAGTCTCCAGCCTCAACTCACTGGGAAGTGAATCCCAAATTCTGATTAACATCAAGTAGTGGTAGGACTACGCAGATATCGGCTAGTGCAATTTTCCCTCATCAGTAACACGAAGTCGTGCTAGTGAAGACAGAGCGTACCAGTACATAAGACGCTTCAGTGTACGAGTAGAATGACTGTCTTACGAGTAATGGTTTTTTCCACTACTGTATGATGTTTCTGCACACTAATAGCGCACCTTTGACATACCAGTTGGGCAAATACATGTTACAAGTAAGGCAAAACACCACGAGTTGACAACTGTGTGCTACTAGTAGTAATCGTGACATTATCAAATTTTACTTAACTTCAAATTGTACTTGATAACATCTAATGCTTCACTAGTCATACTAGTAGCATGCATATGTCCCAGGAATGGCACAGATTCCCCTCACTAGTACTAATCTCCCAAAGTTGCCCGGGTTAGTGTGTAGTGATATCATTCAGGAGTGGAAAAAAATACGAGTCAGACAGTTATTCTGTTGGTGTGTCCTTGTTTAACTAATGTGCTGATTGGGTAACTAGTGAGCAGTAGTACACGGTCAAGCTGGATATCAAGGATATGGTATAAACACTCGAACGGCTTCCAGTCATCTCGACCGACAACACTGTTAGGCATGTTTGAGTGTTTTACATGCCAATAGCCACAGGGGGCGCTGCACAAAACTAAAATGAGGGCGGGGAAGGAAAAGCTCAGTCCAGCTTGTTCACGTTAGTTTTGTGTGTTGTCTTGTTTTCACCCCCCGGACCCCCAACTTGTGCGTCCACTTTTTTTTTTTTTTTTTTTTAATTTAATTTTATTTTATTTTATTTTTTTTTGTGATGCTCATCCATGCAAGGTCTCGTGTACAAATGGTGAAATGATCCCAACTTAAGTGCATTGGACAAACTTGAAGGAAGGAAGAAGTATCGGCGTGTGATTTGACTTTGAAGTGTGCGTGCGTGCGTGTGTGTGTGTGAGACTATTTCCAGGATTTTATTTGTCTGCAAATTTTCAGCTTGTGAGCTGCATGTTAAAGCCGATGTAAATAATGTTTCTACTCAACCCACTTGAGGGTTTTGTTGGGAGATGCAAAGAACGTCGTTCATGAGTCTGTCCTACTCTGTCACGGGCCACTTGTGTGTATAAAAGGATTTTGTTCAGGTGGTGGTCACAATAAGGATTAAATATGGCGCTGAATGACGCGTTTCACCCACACCCAGGCTCGTCCTGTCCTAATAACAAAATTTGATTTGTTGTAGCTGAAAGAACGTCTCTATTTTGGTTTTGTTTTTTGTCCCCCCCAATCAAGTTTGACACTTTGAACTGAACCATGTAGTCTGCGGCTAGAAGGTGAGTGTGACTGTCAGACTGAAAGTATGAGATATGATTAAAGACAAGTTGTAAACTATTAAATGGGATATTTTCAATTGATGCTGTGTATTCTTGTCATTTGGGTTGCAGAAAACAGGAATGCAAATAAAAAGTGCAAATACTGTACATCTAGCTAAGCTTGTTTTTCTCTGATGTCATGCAGCATTGATGTGCCACGGAGTTCAGTGAAATGTCAAGATTACGTATTTAGAGAGAGGTCATCGTGGGAGAACAAATGAAGCCTCTCAACTAACTTCAACATAGTTCCTTGGCACTGGCATGCCTCAAGATAGCGGCAGCTCCTCATCTCGCTAACATATTTAATTAGCACCCATATGCCACGGCATTGTGGCAAAGTGCTACTTTTCTCTAAATGAAGCTCCTCGACTACCTTTAACTTCATTACTTGGCGCCAAGATATTAAGATACTGAAGCACCTCAACTCACTTCAACAGTTCTTTGACACCACAAAATGGTGGTTGAAGCACTATTTTTGTCTAAATGGGGTTCTTCAACTCTCTCCAACTTCCAAGCACTACTTTTCTACAAATGAAGCTCATCAGGTTGCTTTCAATATTGTTCCTTGGCACAGAAGATGCACCAAGATAGTGCCAAACCACAACTTTTCTCTAAATGGACCTTCAATTCAACATCGCTCTCTGTACCAAGATGACAGAGCACTAGTTTTCTCTAAACGAAGCTCCTCAACTTTCTTCAACTTAGTTCCCTGTCACCAAGAAGTCAGTAAAGCGCTACTTTTTTTCAAAAAGAAGCTCCTCCCTTGAATGTAGTTCATTGACTTTGAGATGCCACAAGGTTGAGGGTAAAGCACTACCTTTGCCTAAATTAAGGTGCTCAACTCACAAGATATCTGCAAACCACTACTTTTCTCTTCAGAAGGAGCTAAACTCACTGTAACAAAGTTCCAAGTTGCCATAGCACGGTGGAAAGGTACTACTTGTTTTTGAAAGAAGCGACCCAACTCACTTCAACGTATGTCTTGACACCAAGATGCCAGATGATGGTGGCAAAACACTTCTTTTGTCTAAATGAAGCACCTCAACTCTCTTCAACACAATTCCTTGGCACCAAGATGTACATTTTGAAAAAAAAAAGTATAATAATCTCGTGTCTTGACATGCACTAGAGTGTTATCAGATAAAGTATCGTAATTTTGCATTCAGAACGGGATCACTCTTTTCCATTCCAGAGAAGTCACCATTTTCAGTTATTCGGCAGACTCCAGTACTGCAGTGAGAACCAATGCAATTACACGAGGGATGCCTTTCCATTGGCTTTGATTCGCTCCCCTGGGTTAGTGCTGACACCTGCCTCGCTGACCTGCTCGCAGCACAGTGGATGACATCACAACAATGCAATTGGAAACAGAGACAGGCCTGATGAACGTCCCGCAATGCTATGACATCACTGCTTTTCACACCCAGACGCTCACATGCAAACTGACAGGCAAACTCCTCACTCAGCCGGCCACATCCCTTAAAGGCACACATCCAAGCATGAATGCTGCAGTACACTATGTAAAGTAATTATGCTTCACAAAAATCTGTTTTGTTTTTTTTTTACAATTGCTTATGTATCATTTATTCAATATCCTGTCATCTATCTGAAGGTTCATGCACTAGTGTGCTCTTTGTCCTCACTAGTAGGACAACTTACTCATGAGACCAAACTGTATACTAGTTGACATTTCCTCACAACTAGTACTACTAGGGCGGCACGGTGGTTGGTTAGCATGTCCGCCTCACATTACAGAGGTCCCGGGTTCTTGTGTGGAGTTTCCATCTTCGCCCTGTACCTGGTTTTCTTCAGGTACTTCGGTTTCCTCCCACATTCCAAAAAACATGCATGGTAGGTTAATGGAACACTCTAAATTGTCATTATGACTGTGAATGGTTGTTGTTTGACAGTGTGTGCCCTGTGATTGGCTGGCAACCATTTCAGGGTGTACCCCGCCTTCTGCCTGAATACATCCGGGAAAGACTCCAGCACACCTTGTGAAGATATGCAGCTCGGATAATGGATGGATGGATGGTACTACTATTGAAGCCCTAGATGAAAAACAGGTACAATTTTGTTGTGTGTACCACACAGTAGTCGACTTTTGGACAGTTTTGCCTCACTAGTAACATGCACTAGACCTACAGTACTAGGTATGCCAAAGCGGCCCTGCTATTGAAGACAGACACCGTATAGTACGGCACCTGGATATCAAAGATATCAAACATTGAATAAATGCTCAAATGACAAAAGCTCTACTCGGAGAACTACATGTTACGAGTGTGGCAAGATGGCTTTAAGGAAAGCCATTTGAGAATTTATCGTGCTTCTAGGACAAGTTCAGTGCTTGATGACAATGAATAGAATTTAATGGTACTAGTAGCACACAGTTGTCACTTAGTGCAGGCCAGGGGTCCCCAACCCCCGGTACCGGTCTGTGGGTCATTTGGTGCCGGGCCGCATAGAAAGAATAAATAACTTACATTACTTCCGTTTTATTCATTTTCGAATTTATTTCGAAAATTTACCGGATTCTCCGTCTACAGTATGTCACTCTTGACGCAGGTCAAGGCACGCTTCTCGGTCACGCGATAGGGTACCGCTGAAATGAAACCCGGGAGCTACAAAATGTGTAAAAAAAAAAAAAAAAAAACAAACGTCTTTGGGAAGGGCAAAAGGCACAGCCAGGAGACAGAAGAAGAGCCTACGACTTCCAAGAAAAAGAAAGCTTCACTTAATTGACAATATCTGGAGTCCTACTTAAGATACAGATTTATCTCAAAGGGAGATTCCCACGCATCGAGCCCACTCTGCATAATATGCGGCGATGGTGAGTCGTATTTTTCATGCACTTTGTATCTTATTTTGAAGGCAGGTTTAAAAGTTACCATCGCGGCCAGATAGGACGTTCCTTTTGTCATGATTCATGTTTATTATTATGTTTCGAAAATACTATAGTTTTCATGCAGGTCATATTACCCGGTATATTATTTTATTGTATTTATTTGTCACACCTTGTCTGACATTAAACTGTTCCTTGGGGCAAAAAAGATTGGGGACCACTGACCTAGTGCACTGTTTTGCCTCACTAGTAACATGTAGTAGTTCTCCGAGCAAATAGGTTGTCCTCGTGGTGGGGACAAACTACATACTAGTACATGGACCTTAAACTGGATATCACGGATAACGAATAAACACTCAAGCGGTGCTACAAGTAGATTCCAAGAGGCTACTTGTTGTATATGGAGTTACGGATAGCGTTAGTTGCTGTTGGCGATAAATGGCTTTTGCTTTGCGCAGTACAGTTTGAAGCACTTAGGGATGTAGCACCAAAAACTGGATTTACTGACACTGGATTTCTGAAACACAAAGTTGCTGAAAGTGCAGTAGTACACTTTCCTAACTTGTGTGCGGGCAGCATGGGATCGGTTCCCACTCAGTGACAGCATGGATGTTGTTGTAAATGGTTGTTTGTCTCTCTATGTGCTCTGTGACTGACTAGGGACCAGTTCAGGGTGTCTGTCCGCCTTCCGCCCGAATTCAGCTGGGAGAGATTCCAGCACTCCCGCCCCTGAGCACCCCTGTACAGTGTTGAAAATGGATGAATGGATACTGTAAATTAGAAATGCAGAAAACATACTGTAAAAAATTTACAGTATGTTACTGGATCACAGCTGTCAGTAAAATATGGTAATTTTACTTGACCCAGTCAAATATTTGGTTACTTGGTTAAATATTGCTTTTATTTTCTTATTATTACTATTAGTACAGTGCAAGGACCTTACGCTGCATACATATCAAGGATACGAGTACCGGTACATGTTCAGCGGCTTTCCATCTGTTTGTGGGCGTGTGATTTCCCAGCGAAAGGGGCAGCGGCTGTCGAATAATGAGGAGAGAGAGCCCGCCCCCGTCATGTTTATTGATCCGGCAACGGAGGCCCTCCCGCAGGCAGCCAGGCAGCAGTCGACTCCGCCGTGCTCGCTGACTATGGCGCTCCCGCTTAGTCTGCGTCTCCCCGTGAGAATCGGCCGCCAGCCGCCTCCGGTCAACATCATCACCATGCCACTAGAACCTTAGCGGTCTCTGCGCAGAGCGAGTACCCATGGCGATGGAGGACGAGCCTGACAACCGCGGGGCTTGCATCGACAGGCAGCCGGATACGGTACTTCACCGATCCGGGCTCAACCACGTCGGAGGTCGCGGTTGCCGCACCGGAGCTTCCGCCGCCCCAGCCGGGATACGAGTGCTCAAGGCAGGTGATATTTGCAATTACGTCCCCCCTCCTTTGCTTGTGCACTTAGTGACTGCTTAACATGCCCTCGTTGCAAGGCGTCGTCTTACATGACAGAGCAAAGTGCATGGGATACTCGTAACATTATGTAACGCGCTGAAATCTCTATACCCACGATGAGGGGGAATCATGTTTATGATGATTTATCCGTGGATCGTTCAAATCGCGCCCTGAATTGCGGGCAACGTGCACAAGCATGTCACGCCGATTTAAAGGCGGGACGGCCACGCACAGACCACTTAATTAGGAACACCTTTTACATTGTGATGCCACAAAATAATGCTCAGTTTGATGAACACTGTTGGGTTGTACTGGTAATTTGTATTAAATCAACATTCTCTTAACAGCGTGATCAGAACTGTGGCCGTAGTAAGGTGGCCAAAATATTAGGGACACCTTACATTGTAACACAGCCGCACCGCACACAATAATTAACATATTAGATGACTGTATTATTAAAGGTTGTCAATGAAAATTTGCGTCTTACTGATTTATTGTTCGGGCAAACATGTTTACTCTCACTGTGTTTGTGAGGTGCACCTAATGTTGTGGCCAGTGACATCATCCAGAGAATGACATCACTTTGTCAGCTCAAAAGGAATATTGAGGAAATATTTATATGGTGGCTTGAAATTAAACTTACTTCACAACAAGCAGCAGTTTGGCCGATTGTGAACAATTCTTCTATGAAAAATAAAGGCTTCAAGCTGTTTTATTGCCAATCCCAGTTGAGGTCAAACGAAACATAAAATGAAGAGAATTGTATAGCTTTGCCTGAGTAAAATCAGTTTAGCTAATGCTAACAAACAATCCAAAAGGCTACAGGTGGGCTCACCTTTTCAGTGACGGATATACACAAACAGTGGAGCAACACATATCCACCGACAATATAACAATACTCACAGCCATATATTCCTTATCCCTTGCATAAAATGACTTTTACTGCAGCCGAGTCAATTGTGAAATGACTTCATTTTCCTTTTGCATTTCGAGTGGCTAGAGTTGGATACATTTCCGCAATGCCTCATAGAGCGAATTTGCTCACAGCTCGCAGGTCTGTCCCTGTGTGGCCCAGTCCCAAATTGGCTGAGGCCCGTTATTGTTGCACAGACCGGTGGTTGGGGACCACTGTTATATAACATTATTGGTCTGACCTCCTGTATATCGCATATGAATGAGGTCCAATGTGTCATGATGATCTCCCAACAGAACAAATGTCATCAACGCAGGTCAGCACACCAATCATTGGACTTGTAACTTGACAGCCTTGCCCATGAATATTGTGAGTAGGAGAGGCCAAGGCGCATCCTTGACAAACGCCAATAACGGCGTGTTGGTTTTTGCGTTTACGAGTGCACAGTCATGGTGTGGCTCTACTACACAAATGCTGGCATTTTAGAGCGGAGATGCGATTTAAATTAAAATGACGGGGAGGTTAGGAAATGGATGCAGGTCAGTGCAATTACAATATTGTCTATTTGTGTAACAGTTTGCCCATTTTGACCCATGTCTCTTAACATGGATTTGGTGGTGTCTGGTCATGGGGGGTCTCTTAAAAGTGTACTTATGGGAGTAGTATTTTTTTGTGGAATTGTGGAAACAGTGTTCATGGGGGAGTTTGAAACAGTCTTGAGAACTGTCTGTCGTTCCACCATATTTGCATATGTACCCATAATATAGTCCACTTCAGTTGAGAAGGCAGTTCACAGGGGGACTTTGAAACAGTCCCATGAACTGTCTGTGTTCCCACCACATTTGCGCAGGTTCCTGCAGAAACATGCACCTATTGGTCTTTGAAGGGGCACGGGGGTTAACACTTCTGCTATGTTGACAGGTGAAATTGACTCAGTTTAACATGAAGGAAATATGACTTTAAAAAATGGGTGTGTTATGAATATGGATAGTTATGGTGCTAGTTTTTGATCCTAAGTCCTGAGTGACACTGACCCAGGAATATTAATCTCCCCCCCCCCCCGAAACAAATATAACATGAAGATTAAGTAATTGACGAAAGTGAAAATTAACATTCAACTCAAATGCACTGTCGTTAGAATTGTACATTTTTCCTCTACTGTTACTTAAATGGTTAAAATGTTCAATATTTGGACCAATGGCCACACAATGCAGTCAATTTTTGGTACAGTGGTTGCCTGAGTTTTTTACAAGTCATCATTTCGCTGATTTTCTTGCATTGACTTGCAAGCACAAGTTTGAGATATGAGGGAAGGCACAAAATAGTGAACAATTCTACAAAAAAGAAGCTTCAAGCTCCTTATTGCCACTCGTAGTTGGTTTACCTTCAGATTAACACAAAACAAAGTGAATTACTGATCATTTTGTTTGAAACAACCACATAAATTATCTTAATGGTAACATATAATAAGCAATGCCATAGATGGGCTAATGAATAGCATCAACGTTGCAGTGTTATGCCCTATAGGCGATAATATTAGAATAAAAATGCCGAAGCAACACAAATGGATAGATAATACACTCATGCTCATGGGACTGTATTCTTTATCCTCAACGAAGAGCATCTAAAGTTACTGAAGCTTAGTGAAGAGCAAAGATGGCTCCATCAATATCATTATGTCTGTATTCTACTGCCCCCGGATGGCACGCACCAGAAGGAACAGCACGATGGCCATTGAATTTAAGCACAAAATGTGGCAAAAACAGTTTAACTTGTTCACATTCCATTTAATTCCATCATTACTTTGATTTTTAACGTGTTCGTTTGTGTGTGCGTGCCCACAGCGTAACATGAAGCGAGTCGGGAGTCACGGCTGCATGACGAGAAAGACCAGATTTGGATCCCGGGAACGCGACTGGCTAAAGAGCGACACCCAGCGGGGTTGCGTGTGTCTGTACGGAGGCACAGTGGACCCCCAGATACCTGCCTCCGGACCCCAGGCCTCTTCCACTCCCCAACCCGACCTGCAGCTGGTACTCTGCTCCACCAGCACCACAGTGGAGGAGATGTGCGCTCAGAGGGACGGACATGGCCTCTTTGTTCAACTACACGGAGATCTGCTAAGGTAAATTCATATTTATCTTTCAGATGTTGGAGCGGTGCTATTTCTCTACGGGCTCATTAAAAACAGCAGATCAGCTGAGTGGCTCCACTTTGTAGTCCTGTGCTGATGCACTTAAATTGCTTCTCTGCCTGCCGGTAAGACATGATTCCATTTAAAATGAAGTACAGAAATCGCCAAGATTTATAACCAGGATATTACTGCAATTGGATTTCAGTTATACTACTGCGATTCAGACTTCACGGTTAATTTTTGATAATCGAGGCTCTCCTCATGCTTTCTCTGGAAAGCTGGTTTCTAAGTCTGCAAAAACGAATACACGATATCTTTTAGTCTTTAAAAAAATAAAATCTTTAAAAAGCATTTATACCCCATTAAAAAAAAACAAACTCAACTGATTTGCAAAGTATTGCATTTATGGCCAATTAAAGCCTTTTTCCAGCAAAATATTACACTCATAATACTGTATTTTTATTTCAAAATCCTGTACAGAATTTTTTTTCCTGCAAATTCAACTCGTCTCACCACTGTACAGTGCATCCCACATACTCATAATTTGGTACCCGCAGTGTCATCTATTTGTAGCTTTATTGATTTATTTAATTATTATCATGCTTTTTTTTTTTTTTTTTTTAAATTTACAATGAAAACCATCCATCCATGCTTCCAAAGAAGCGAAAAGTTTAACTTGGCAGCTTGGTGTCGAAGTGCTGCCTCCGCTAGCGAAAATGCCTCTCTTTATGGAGGCTTGCTTTTCTCTTCGGACTCTGAGCTATTTGCAAAGGAGTAGCCACTTGCCGAGTCCGACCCTCGTCGTCATGGTAATGGAAGCCTATTGGCACATCGAACAATGGGGATGAGCTGTGGTTTTTTTTTTTTTTTTTTTTTACATGAAATCCTCCAAACTAAGTGTTACAACTTGTAAATCTTCATCCTTTGTGTATTTTAACCTTTATCAACTCACCTGGTAACTGTTGTGAAAAAAATAATGTCTCCTTTAATAGAGAACATCCAGCCATCCTGGTCATTGTTCTATTTCTGGGGCTTCTCCAAGCCAGGCAACGCCAACCGGTCAGTCCCGGGCCAATCTCCGGTTTCCTCCCACTCGGTCATGCCCAAAACGTTTTCCAAAAGGGAGACTCCCAGAATTCTGGATGGCCTCCTCCCAGAGAGACACAGAGAGGGCACACTAGGACAAGTGGCCTATTAAAGCAGCCTGACGAATACATTGAGGTCAGGAGCCTCATCCATCTCCACTTTGTGTCGACGGGCTGCAAGAGCAGGACCTCGTGTCACTTTTGAGGGCTATAAAATGTTTCTCCCCCCCCCCCCAAAACAAAATCACTCTTCAAATGCATTTCATATGCATGTCTCATTTGAATAAATCACACTTTTACCAGGACCTTTCTTGTAGGATAATTAAAGCTGCAGGAAAATGTCAATTTTTAGTGTGAGCTTGTTTACCATCACCAGACACATTAGGTACCCTTACTTCATCATAAATTCTACTTTTACAAATATATTAATGTGCAATTTGGATGGACACTGTCAGCGAGCTATATTTATTTCACAATATATTTATGATTGCCATTGTGATTAGCATATTTATTGACAAAAAGGGGGAGTGGATAAAAAAAGTATACACACCCCTGCTCAAATGCACGCAAAGACGAACAACTATTCGCGCTGACAATCCCACCTAGGGACAATTTATGAATGTTCCATGAACCTGCCGTGCATGTTTTTGGAATGTGGGAGAAAACCGGAGTACCTAAAGGAAAGCCACGCAGGCACGGGGAAATAATGCAAACTCCACACAGGAAGGCCGCAGCCGGAATCAAACCTTGCACCTCTGTACTGTGAGGCGGATGTGCTAACCAGTTGTCCACTGAGCCACCCATGAAAGTACATTTCAATCCAAAATATAACATTTGAATATAAAAGTGTCATTTAAATTGAAACATCTATACTGTGTGTTTTTGTTAATCCCAGCCGGGCCTTTGCCGGTTGGGGTGTTTCATGTTTTTTTTATGCAGCAGCTTTCCACTTGTGCAAATATTGCTCTATTTCTAATGAAAAGCATTACACAATGAAAATAAACTCCTTTCCCTCTCCAATGAAACAACAACACGCTGCTTACTGTGAGATACTGAGCTCACCCACTGTCCTAATAACCCTCCCCCCAAAAACCTCTTTGCGCATTTATTGTATTTACGATTCCTGTTGTCATCCCGGTTTGTGCCACAGGAGGCTGGAGCCTACCGAGCGTCCGCTCCAGATGCTTTACGACTATCTGGCCGTTATGGGCTACGCCGACCCGGTGCGAGTGCAGCAGGAGGCTGCAAATTCAGACCTCAGCTGCTTGATCCGTTTCTACAGCGGTGAGTACCAACCCACGAGGCCCATCATCATGGCTGTCATCATCATCCATCTTCATTGTCTGCTCATGATAGAGGTCCCGTTTCCTCTGATTGAGGGGACGAACGAGGCCAGCCAAGTAAAGGTTGAGTGGAGTCACACCCTTGTGGCGTGCTTTGCCATTGTTATCATTAGAAAGGCATAATTGTCCACATAGTTCTCATATTGGATCTTGTTCAAATGTCCGTGTGTGTTTAATGGTGTGGCCGGTGTAGTACTCGATCTTTAGTGAAGTAGTCATTCATCATGTTGCTGTATTTAGTCCTGATGTAGGCTGGTCGATTTTTTTTTGTTTTTTTTGTTGATGTTGTCCATTTTTGGTTCACGGTACATTCTTTTGTGTCTGGCAATGGGGAGCCAAACAAATCATGTAACATATTAGCCACAGTCATCTCTTTTTCCTTTGTAGCTGAAGTGAGCTTATCAGGTTTTGAAATCACTATTTTTTTTTTGTTTATTATTGTGAAGCCCTCACTGTTGGGTTCGCATATACTGCATCATATTTATAAACTCAAGTAAATCAGTTACTTCCCCCAAGGGCGATAATGAGTTTTTTCATCAATCACTTTTCTTAACATTGGTAGAGGTCTTAAAAACCTTGTTAACCTATATCCTAAAATATTTCATTTTCTATTTACACAGTGCATTTTTTTGTATGAAAGCCTTCCTATTTTTTTTTCTATTTTTTATGCACATATATTTAGATACAGGAGGTGCTGTTGCTGCTGAGTCAGTGCGACTTTTTACATTAAATAAGTAAATGTATTGCTGTATCATTAGATTTAAACGAATACAATTGCCTCGGTGCATTTCAATGAAGAGCCACCATTGTGGTTGATTCAACCTTCTTTTTAAGGTCATTTTTTGTGTATGTATTGAATAGAATAGAATATGCCTCGCGTTAATGTGTTTTTAAAATTTTTTATATTTTTGTGCAAATCCAAATCAGAATTGTGTGCTCGGCTGAGTCCCATTGTAGTATTTTCCATCCATTCATTTTCTAAACCACTAACTCTATGCCCTGTTGAAATTGTATTTTTTAAAACAAAAAATAGCACTCTATCATATTATACTTTTGAAAAAAAATTACATATAACACAATTTTATTAACATGACTATTTGAGACTCCGTGTGTGCGACTGGGCCACCGGGTGGCAGTATAACACAGTCATGCAGCCACAAGCGAAGAAAACCTTCAGAACTACTTTCAGTGACTATAAACTGGAATAATATTACTCGTTTCTCGCAGAGGATGAAGAATATATGCCTGTGAGTATTGTGAAATTGTCTGTCTACATGTGTCGATGCACCTTTTGTGTTCATATAGCCATTGATTAAAAGGTTATAACTATCTACATGTGCAAATGGTTAGCCCATCCATGGCATTATGCATTGTGTTAGCATTAAGTTAACAGTACAGAACGGTGCGCTATTTACCTTTGTTTTATGCTTGGTTTGGCAGTAAACTTCAAATGGGAGGGGCAATAAACACCTTTATTTGAAGAATTGTTCGTTATCTGCTTGTTGGGAAGTGACTCGAGTACACGGCCACCATGCGGCCCTCTCATCTTGAGTTTTTTTCCATGCAAGTCAGATGACTCGCATTTCGAAAAACTAAAAAATGAGGTCACTCTTATCTCAAGGTTCTACTGTCAGAGCTCTTCTCCGGGGGCTCCACATATTTATTATTATTATTATTATGTTAAATCTCCTCACTTCCTCCCATCATAATGGTCTTATTTGATGAAGAACATCATGTCGAGCCTCCCCCGCGTGCTCATGCTGGGATGCTCTGATGAGATAAAAACAAACAGTAATGATGGCTCAATGCTGACTTCATCAAAATCCACCAAGAGAAAACAAAGGCAGGGGACCCGTGGGCCAGCGGTTGCGTGGGTCAGCCCCGTCCATGCAGCTGTAGGGAGCTGGGACGCGGACTGCTGTCATCTCTGGCGCCGGTCCGTTTGGGCTGCGTTCCTGCTCGGACCGCGTAGTCGAGACCCACCGCCGCTGTCCAATGATGAGTCATGTGGGAGAGGTGAGAAAGCAGCACATAAAGTTATTGATTTGGCTTCCAATCAAAGTGTCGGCGTTGAATAAGTCGCATGGTTGATATATTTCGGACACCCCAGAGCGTACTTATTTGTTCTTATTACTCTGGCCTACTTGTACATGGATGGACTGGAACTTCTCCATTCACTATTCTATTTTCAAGATCATAATTATAGTGAACTTCATCAAGGGAGATACATATCAGAACACCCCCGTGATAGCTGAAAATCCGCGATATAGAGACCACATAAAAAACAGTTTAAAAAAATAATTTTACCCTCCCAAGCGCTTTAAACACACTTGAATTTAATGAAACGTACCTTCTAAAATATTCTCTCACTCTCCCACTGTCACTTTGACACAAAGGAAACGAGAAGTCGTCTCTCGCTCATGTGCTTGCTTCAAGCTATTTGTCATGCTCACTTGAAATTTACCGCAAAATCGACACATAAAACAAAACAATGAAACAATATATATGCAACCCTTTTAGGGACAACGGTTACTACAGTGGACATCTTATCATGTTATCAGGTTACAGGGAGCATGAAATGTTCACTCAAGCTATGTAATTTACGCTAACTAAACTCCATTAGCTTCATGCAAACATATAATGCAAAACAACATCGATGGGGGCTAACATTCATTAGCAGAGATATTACGGTAATTCTAAACCTTCAAGAGCTCCTATTTAAACACACATAAAATCTTACGATGTGAAAGGCCACAGTTGAACGGAAATCAGCATCGATGCGAAAACTCAATAATGGCCGCTATAGTGGGGGTGTGAAGGACGAACAGCAAAATAGCGAGTGATCACTGTGTTAGAATAGAGAGATTTTGTTTGACCTGTTTTTGATGAGACACGTAGTTTCAGGCTCCAATATCAAATGGAAAATTCTGTTTGCGAGTTACAGCCTATCGTAGCTGACTTTGCTCGGGAGTTGGTATACACGAGTCAATCGCTGACACATTCAGGTATCGGCAATCATTCACGCACACCTATGAACAATTACGAGTCTTCAATGAAGCTAACGTTTGTTTTTGGATGTGTGAGGATATTCAAACCCAGACCCCCCTTCGACAGTGAGACGTAACCTCTACTCTGCCTCTGGATGACCATGATACGAATCAATACCACCAAGCAGAAGGCGGATGTACATTTTCAACTTCATATTGAAGTGGATCAGATTCATGGTGAATAGATGAATGCATGGTCGTGTAAAAGTGAGGTACAAAGCGAAGTGCCTCAAACGTGAGAGTCGAATCCCATCATTTCCTGACAGCTCCTCTTAATGGTTTGTGTCTGTGAGGGAGTTTTTCTTTGGCCTCAACATGTTCCCTCTCTTGCTGAAAACATACAGACTTTCCTCCATAGAAACAGACAAACAATAGCGGAAAGTGAGAACTACATCATACTGATTCATGCGAAAGGCAACCAGTTTCAACTCAACCCGAAAGACTGCAAGTTTTTATTCTCCTTTCAGTTCAGATTGGGCGCTAGTCAATCACTTTTCTGACACCAGGATGTATCCTTGCTTGCAAACATTTTGAAATGCTCCATAAAATTGTGTTTCAGACGGCGTAAAGGGGAAGTCAAAAATGTTCTTACTGTGCACCCCCTCGAGTCTAACCACAGTATTCTGATTAATATTATGTTTGTGGAATATGAGTGGAGCAGAAAAATCCACCAGTTTTTTTTCATCTCATATTGTCAATTGCCGTCGATAGAAAATGACATCATAGTGCCTAAGGGCTCACGTAACGACCGTCATGGCTCACCTGATTTCTGGGTTTGCTCATGTCACGTTCCCAAGCTATTTAGTCACACAATTAATCAGAATACCGTCCAGTGGGAGCACATAAAACATGTTATTGTAAAGAAAATTTTCGACTTGACTCCCCCTTTAAGTCTAACCGAGGCGGGCATGTGACTGTCAGGCCTGACTTTTTCAGTGCCAGCAAAGGCGTTTGCTATTCTGAGTCTGACTTTTAAGTGCTTGTCAGTTGCCTTGAAATAATCCAATGTGCGATTTAAAAAAAGATTTGAAAGATATAAATATCATGCAGACGGAGAGCAGGGGTTCCAGGAGACGAGACCAGGACGAGATTCAGCACCGAGCTTGCACAAATTTTGCGAAGTGACCATGAATTTGTGGTGTCTCTCACAAGGTTTTAACTGTACTTTGATACTCTTTGTCACGCAATATGAACAAAAGGTTTTGGACTCACTCTTACATGGGGTGATCAATTATTACCAACAGCCTGTCGAAATATCCGCACTCCGCTTCTTCCTTGACAATCGCGCCATGTTTTTGTGGTTCACTGAAAAACAATACAGGATAGTACACTAGACATGGAGCCTCAACACCTGATACAGCGTCGCAGGTTTTCTGTTGCAGCGTACCGGTTGCTCTATGGTGAAAAATTACTTGGTGTGCAGCAAAGTATCGCCAACTGTCATTTTTTTTGGGTGCGAGTCTACTTCGGTCGTGTTCGGCCACATTGCTTGGTGGTCGGACCTTAGATATCAGCTGAAAGTGCACCAATGGTGGTTTATCTGAAGGTCATTAGTCATTTAAATTTAGCTTGCAACATAACAGTCATACTCAAGACAATTCAAGTATGTATATTTTTTGTGTGCGTGTGCGTGTGTGTGCGTGTGTTTGTGTCTAAGTGACTGTACAGTATGTGACTATCTCAGCGGGCATCCGTTTTGGCCTTATACCGCCTCTGCTGTCAACCCAAATTGATGTCCAACTTCCCTCTGGCTCACGTAAAAAATGTCACAAAATCAAAACCAGAAAGCAGGTTAGCTGTGATGTTCAGAATGTGAGGCTGAGGGCACTTTAATGTCATTTTATGTCGACAGCAGAGGGCGGTAAGAGTTAAAAATTGTCAGTCCCTTCAGATGAACGAAAACAAATGGATTGATCTGCTCAATTCTTTTTCCGTGAACACACTACAGTATTGAAATGGGACTATACAGAACGTATTGAAAACAAAATGTTTGCCTGAGTTCCCCTCCCACAAAAAAACAACAACTAAAAAAACGGACGTAGTGTGGGTGCGAATAATGAACCGCAATACACGTTGTGAAGCCAAATCCATGAGGTATGAAGCAGCAGTTTTCCTGTTATGTCAACATCAAGTTTAATGGCATTGCAGCCCTCCGCCCTGTTGTGGTTAATGCATCCACTTCCCCTTGTAATAATTTGACATCACGTTTTAACCTTGCCTGAGCCTCGCCGCTCGCCGCGTGAAGTCACATGTCAACGACTATCCCGCCGAGCGAAGGCCGCGGTCGGCTCCAATGTGTCACTTTTTCTCACTCTTCCACCGCGGTTGGGTGGGGTTTTCGCACAGGGTGACAATTAGTCTGCCGGGCCCCATCAGTCATCGCGCTCTCTCCTCCGACGCGGCATACGCTTTTGAAAACAGCGTTGCGCAACATCCATCGACATTTAACCCACTTTAACCCTCATGGAGTCAACTTTATTTGCAGTCACGGAGCAGGAGGTGGAGGTTTACTAGCTCAGACTGGACTTTGATTTGGGCAACAAGCCTATTTCCATAGAAACTAATAACACTCCATACCTCGGGGGGGACAACACTGGTTTTAGAGTCGTTGGCTCTTTATAGTTAGGACGCATTGTGTAAGGCAACTAATGATTTTCAGATGTGATGATAGGATCATGCACGAAACAGTAGATGCAACAAGTGTTTCCCAACCTCTATTGAGCCAAGGCACGTACCCATTTTACATCGTCCCCACTAGTAAGAAAATCTAGCGCACTAGTAGAATCATTGTGACTCCTAGTAATGCTCCCCCCCCCCCCCCCGAGTACTGTCTGACATTTCTGCACAATAGTAAACCAACATTGGCATTCGAGTAGGCCCATGACATGTTTCAAGTGAGGCGAAACTGTCAAGTAGTTGACATGTGTACGATAATTTTGAAAAGTCATCTAACTGCGGTTTTTGTCCTTAAAATTATTGCATATTAAATCGCAATTGTAATTGTTCAAGGTCCTGTTCCCATTTTTTTTTTTTTTTTTTTTTTAAAGATACGCAACCATTAAATACGTCCGTGAAGGGATAAGCGCGTCTCTGAATGTGATTGGGGGTGGGGCTCGTGAAATTAGAGAACAAGGTGGTGTTCGTGAGCGAGCTTGACCTTGTGTTTGCAGGCGCGCACAGTAAGTTGACGACTGAAAAAAAATATCAATTCCTGTACATCATGGTGAAAACTACTTGATTCATATGAACGGTTACAATTTTGACATCCTGCTTCAGGTTCAACTACATGTTACAGGTTATTCCTCCAATGGCTGCAAATAATCATTTTTTTCATAATGGATTAACCCTTTCATGCACCCTGTAACCTGATAACATGAATAGCTGTCCCCTGTAGTAACCGCTGTCCCTGAAAGGGTTAGTGATTATTTTTTTCCCATAACTTCATTATGATTCAGTTAGTAGTTAGATCTTCAACATGTCAGGAAACAGGCAAAAATGTGATCATTGTTTTCCAAAGTACAATCAGATGTTTGAAAACATCTTATTTTGATTAAACCCAAAAAAAGAATCAGTCGACTTTCATGGTCTACAGAAATCGTAATGTTTCCTGTTGAGAGGCTGAAATCAGAAGATTTGGGCAACTCTCTGTGTGAAGCAATCAATGAATCTAAGATCAAAGTAGTTGTGGATTACAATAAAATTCAGTGAAATTGTATTCTCTTTTCTGTGGTAAAACAACAACAAGAAGAAGCAATAAAAATGTAAGCATCTTTTGAAGGTGAAAAAAAGAGACATTGCTCATTCGAATGCATTCATAAATATTGTGCAGTATCGGAGGATAATTACAGATGATGGCCTTTGGATGAAAGCACATTTGGCCCTGTATCAGTTTTTAAAGGCTCAGAGAGCAAGAGAAGAGGGCCCGGGCAAGTCTTCTCCTCACTGAGATGAATTTAGAGCTATCTGGAGAGTTGTTGCTGTGTGTGTGAGATGCTGAGCATTTGGTGCAGTGTGCCGTAATGTTGTTTGTTCGTACATTCTCCACAGAGCCCCACTAATAAAGTGTGAGGTGAAGGTGGCTGGATTGATTTTCTCACACAAGTCTACTGCTATTTCCAAATTGTATATGAGTGCGTGTCTCCAGAAAAAAAAAAAAAAAAAAAAGATTCATTATGCATATTGATACATGACGGACGACCCGCAGAGTAATAAGAAATGCAGAGCTGGATCTATTCTGTGAGATAGAGTTGTTGAGCTTTTGGCCACCCCAAAAAATTGGACAAATTTGCCTTAAACACCTTTCACTGAAAGCTGATGAAATTAACTAGACAAAACAATCAATACATAAAAATGCTTTTAGTGTGTTTCAAAAAGTTGAAGAATTTTAAAGTGTCCCTTTCTTCCTTCCATTTTTATGTATGTGGCCATCAAACAAAAAAGTTTGGACACCCCTGATTTAGAGTGTTTAACAGTGACATTATTGTTTTGGTTATTGCTTGTTATTTTGTGTTATGCTGTGCAAACACATCAATAAAAAAACACATCCTGCCAAAAGCGATGTTCCTAGTTACAATTACCCAATATGATAAACCCAATAATAAAAAAATAACAATAACGCCCCAAAATAATGATCATTCATCCATTGTGGAGCGCTCTATTGTGACGTGAAGAAAGAGGCGCTGCTGTAGATGTGCCTGGCAGCCAGTTTGTTGTCATAAGCTCTTTTGCTGGCAAAGGAAGGAAGACAGGCTTTCCTTACAGTTGGACGTCCTTGACGAGGGAAAGTGAAGGAGGATGAAAAGAAGGAATCACGGCCACTGAGTGGCAAGCGCAGCACAAGACATTTAGAAGAATATTACGGAAAGGTGATGGTGCATTAATTCCATATCCTTTTCATCCTGACTAAGGTCCATGGACTACTGGTATCCAGCACACTAGTTGACGACCGTGTCTTACAAGTAACATCTTTTCCACCACCAGTGCCACTGTTGGCCTACTTGTATGCAATCAAACCTTTGTCCTTTATTCTGTCATATAGGTTTGATGTCTCGCAGTAGATGAGCTTTTGGAAATGCACAGTCATTCTATTACACGTGGACCTCAAATATGAACAATACAGAATAAAAGCTCGAAAGGGTTTCCAGAGAAAACAGTTAAGCTTTGGAGTTGAGCCACTCACGTTCGTTCAACTCCCCTCTTCCCGGTGCTTCATTTGCGGTTTTTGAAATGGAAACCTGGTGTGTAACCCGCACATCGAGGACGTCATACAAAAGTGTGTTGACTCGAGTCGCCACAGTTTAACGTCGAAAAATGAACACGTCGCCCGTAGATTTCGTGAAGTGATTGGCTTTAAAAGTGAAACCAAACGGCGCTTGTCAAGCATCGCGTTAGTTTTGACGGCTATGCTTTTCGTAACCGTTATTTAAAAAGACAGGCTACCCTCATTTTCGTCAGCGTTGGTGGTATAGTGGTGAGCATAGCTGCCTTCCAAGCAGTTGACCCGGGTTCGATTCCCGGCCAACGCAGCTGTTCTTATTTTTTTACCTTTTCAAACGTAGTTTATTGTGTTGCACATTGTTTCTAACCCACGCGTATTTGCTCTCAAATGACACAAAATTGGGAACACTTGCATATCCTACTTCCTTCAGAAGAGAGGTTCTCAAATCTTTTCACCAAAAAAAAAAAAGTTTGTGTATTAAGAGTATACATTAAAATGTATTGCACGTAAAAGGATGGTTGCTCGAACTCCCAAATTCTACCCTAAAACCCAGTTTTGATTGTCTTGATTGGAGGTATTTATATTTTTCCCGTGCTTTTAGACATATCAGTCAATATTTGTGCTTTCATCCAAAATCCAAAGTGTATTTCTTGTAGTTGTTTTTTCACACTCTTGGTCAGCAGACACTGAAAAAGAATGTTGAATTTATTCACTTTTATTTCAACAAGTTTTTGCACAAAATGAAATCATCTGTATCCAGATGATTTTATTTTTTATTGATAATTGCAATTTCCAGTTTCAATTGCATAGTACACTGTATATACTGTATAGTGTGTGTAACCAGGATACTATAATACTCAGTACAATACAATACCTGCTGAAATCGACATGGATTTTGTCATAGATTTATATAGGGTATCATCTCATGCCTTGCACATACTGCTTTTTAATGACTGCTTCTGCATTTCTGATTACATGGAATTTGCATTTTATTACGGTACTTTGTAATCGTGATGTGTCATGACTAGGTTGCAAATTTTGCCTCACCAAACAAAAATGACAGCTTGGAACTCTACAGATCTTCAGGGGTATATTAACCAATTCATCAATCAGCCGATTCAATTGACCGATATTAGATATTTCAAAATCTGTAAACTTTTTTTTCATTCTTTATATCCGTCCTTCCACTTTAACCGCCAATTACTGTAGTTGGTTTTGTTGGATTTTTTTTTTCTGACAAATACTGGAATCAGTGTCGGCCTGAAAATTCCATCGTGGTTGGTCTCTACTATTTTCTTTATCTATATTTAAATTCCATATTATGAGATAACTTTTGTAAATTCCTGGTTTATTCCAGTTTATCTAAAAAAATTTTTTTTAAGTATTTTGCAACCATACTAATAACAATGAAACTAAACCTAGATCTAAATCTGTGATTTCATTCTCTTTCTACGAATTACAGTATTTTCCCACAGTAGATAAAGGCAGGGCTTCCTATGCATGGTAGAGATCTTGGTGTTTCTGCTCTAAAAACGTCAGTGTGTCTTCTCTATTTCTTTCTTTAGAGCGACCCGTAAACGCGGACCAGCAGGAACGCACCCTGTTGAAGGGCGTGTTCAGCGTCCGTAAGGGCAAGACGCAGCTGCACAAGTGGGCCGAACGGCAGGTCATTCTCTGCGGAACGTGTCTCATCGTGGCCTCTGTCAAAGACAGCCTGACCGGCAAGATGCACATCCTGCCCCTGGTGGGGGGGAAGGTGAGCGCTACGGGTTCAAGAAACTGCTGCCTTACTACGGTGCACCTACTACAGTACTTATTCTGAGAAATTATGCCGAGTGGCTGAAAAAGGCCCCCCTGGTCAATGACGAGACCACGAGGCGCTCTAAAGCAGCCACGCCAGCGCAAGGTCGCTTGTCCTCAATCTGGCTGTCAAATTTGACCACCCTCCCGACTCCACCCCCTCCTTCGTTATTTAATCTGTCTCTGCATCATATGCACGCACTCAGTGCTGAGAATGAGGCACTCTGAAGTAGTCATGGTAGTGACTCTGCAATGCATCGCATCATACTGACAGTTGTTTTGAATATTTTCTGATTATGTGTTTGTGTTCAGGTGGAGGAAGTGAAGAGGAGACAACACTGTCTGATGTTCAGCTCTGCCGGATCACAGGCTCAGACTTACTTTGTCAACTTTGACACACTGGCCGACTACCAGAGATGGCATCGACAAGCATCCAAAGTAAGGAGGCAAATGAAATTATCACGCATTAGGTCTTGTTATTACATTATTCTGATGTTGAATGCTAACACAACACTGCTTATCACCAAAAGCACACCATATCTATATACAGTGAAGCATGGTGGTGACAGCATGATCCTTTGGGGCTGCTTTTCATCAGATGGAATGATCAACAGTTCGAAGTAGCAGTCAGTGTGAGCACAAAACCTTCAGGCTATTGCTCAAACCAAAACAGCTAAATTTCATTTCAGGTTAATCAGAGGCACTTTAAATGGTGAGTTGTGTGAGTTGGCTCCCAGTTGACGTACATTTCAATGTGATTGGTTTGTTCTGACCACAGCCACATCCCCAGTAAATGCGAGAATAATTGTAACTAAGTAACAACAACTTACCTAACTCTAAGTAACTCAAACTAGGGAACTGACGGTAACTAGGTGACTGTAACAAAGTCATTGAATCTGTGTGAATGTTGCAAAGTAAATTGAAAAAACTAACAAAGTATTAAGGTGACACACTACAAGGCAAATTTAAGTATGGTAGTAGCAGCTTTTTTCAATAAAATGTCAGCCCATCAAATCATCCATCCATCCATTTTCCGATCTGCTTTATCCTCACAAGGGCTGTGGGGGGATGCTGGAGCCTATCCCAGCTGTCTTTGGGCAGTAGGCGGGGAACACCCTGAACGGGTTGCCAGCCAATCGCAGGGCACACAGAGACGGACACCCATCCTCGCTCACACTCACACCTTGGGACAATATAGAGTAAACAATTAACCTACCGTGCATTTTTTGGAATGTGGGAGGAAAACTGGAGTACCCAGAGAAAACCCATGCAGGCCTGGGGAGAACATGCAAACTCCACACAGGAAGGCCAGGGCTGGAATCGAACCCGCGGCCTCTGCACTGTGAGGCGGACGTGCTAACCAGTGGGTCACCGTTCCGCCTCTTTTGAGCTACTAACCTGACATTTGAACAAGGGTGTGTCGAGTTTTTCTCTCCACTTTATCCCTCGTTCATTATCAGTCTTATCTATTCTTCTTCTGTCCTTTCAGCAGCTCTTTCGTGCAATATTGAGTGTGTGTGGCTTTGCTTTCAATGAATGTCTTTTGCGCTTGAGCTCCTTCCTCCAGCCAAGCAGACGTGATGAGCGTATCCTCTGAGGTAAAGGCAGCTTACAATGGTCGCCATGAGAGGCGAAAGCCGACAGAACAAAAAAGGAATCCAATTAGTTGCAGATTCATTCTAAGTGCACTGTGTCTTTCTCTTTGCCATGGTCAGATGGATTACTGTACGGCCGTAGAGTGCTCTGGAGTTTCATAGACATAGATGAGAGGTTGTTTCTTAGGAGACATGCTGAAGAGTGATGAAGATGGGTTGGCTTCATGAGTCCACCATGTATTGAAGAGAAACACCCAGGAGGTTTACAGTGCTGCATCGAATACTTGGACATTTAGTGGTTCAATAAAGGAATCAAAATGTTAGACACCTCTGACCTTAATGAGAGTGTCAGTCATGAGTGAGCCAATGAATTGAGTCTGGACTACATTTTTATGCTTATACTTGTTGAATACTGCAACACCCTGTGGCAGAAATTCCCAAAAGGAAGAGTTCTGCGCAGTAAAAAGAAATGTTGGGTGAGCTCAAAATTTTAGGCAACACACTTGGATAACATTTTAAATTCAACAAAAAGTTTTGCTTGTTGCGGAAATTGCCTTTCCTGCATTTCAAGAAAAGATGTCTCACTCATTCTGACACATTCATATGGCCTGATAAGTACACAACTATTTTTATTTGTTTGAGCTGTTAATGTTTGTTCATTATTGTTTCAATTGAAACACAATTGACTGAATGCATGTATCACTTAATCAGCATTTAGGAGCGCAAGATAAAAGAAGAAATGCCATTCTTCCATTCAAAATAATATTTTCACCTCACCTAGATACATTAGATGTATAATCTTTTAAAAATATATATTTTTAATGAAGAGGATGTTGACATTTTTGTTTTTGTGGCAGTACGTGAAGTATCACCATAAAGGTATCTGCTACTTCACTTAAGTGACCAAGTTCTACCTTTTTTCATCAAGGTTCGATGAAACTCTAATTTCACAATTTCACTACAGAATACAGCAACAACACTCTAATCATGTTTCCATTCCCAAATCAGGGTCAGAAATCTGCTGACGCAAGTGCAGTGTAAATGTACGGATCCGATATACGCTGTCAATGTGATCTTGACATCAAAATATGCCGATGGGTGAAGTTATACACACCTGTGAGGGGAGGATATTCATTTAATCCCCCGTTAGCGCACAATTTATTTTTTATATGCGCTTTTCCTCTAAGCGGATTCTCCCGTCCAGACTTTTGACATACCAACCGCAACTGCATGATGGGCTGAGAATGAATTGGGAAGCACCAGAGGTGCGATTGACTGCTACTTGAATCTGGCTTAAAATCATCGGCACACAAGACTTGTAAATGTCATTGAAATCCATCAAAAAGATAAACGACAATTGCAATGTAGCAGATACAGTGTAGGTGCCCGGAAGAGCAACAGAAAGTTATTGATTTATTTATTTATTTTTGCGACACGCACCGGTTTCACATACACATATTTTGATGGACTGATATAGAAACGAATAAAAACAAATGACTAAATATAAAACTCACTGTAATCATATTAATGATGATGATTTAAATACAATGCTAATTGTACATAAAATCGCAATCACAATATTACAGGGAAAAAGTCCTACGCACTACTCTACCAACAAACTTGCATTGCAAACTTTATTGGACATACTTTCTCAAAAGATCTTCCATAAATGCCATTGAACTGACTGGGGAAATTAGCCATTAAACTGTGATTTATGCAGTAATACTAGCCACCAAATTATTGTCAGATTTGAGTAAATAGCCCCCTCTGGCCCATTGGGATGCACTGCGGTTGTCTATGACCATGCATAATGAGTGCGACTGTGGTATATCTTTCATTGAAGCTGATGTGTATTATTTAGCCCGCCTCGTCTATCACAGTGCTTCACTTATTTAGAGTCACAATGTTTTCTTTCTTTCTCCCCTCACTCTATCCATTGCTCCACTCTCACATTACCTAATTAGTCTCATTTATCTTAAAAGCCGTTGCTCTTCAAGAGTGAGCGTTCGTGCGGAGCGTTTGTGTGGGAGATGAGCAGTTTTGTCTCTGTCATTTCCCAAATCAAGTTAGATGTGATGTCATGCTCCCGTGAGCAGCCGGCCCATTTTCTGGCCCGCTGCTCAGCGTGCAGTCTCGTGGTTAATGCTGGTCGTTGTTCTCAGACTCGTGCACGCCAGCATTGAAAGGGAGCCTGTAACAACACGCAGGTTTGTTTAGCTGCTTCCTTTGTGCAAAAAAATAAATAAATAAAAAAAAATACAAATGCAGTCCTTTGTGATATGGACCACTGAAAAAAAGGATTTGCTGGCTCAACTTAAAAAATAATAATAATAAAAATTAACTTACATTTTCTGTTGTTGTATTCATTATCTAATTCACTGATTGGTCAGAATGGTTAATTCTGTGACATGTACAGTTGTAACTCAACTTTCTGGTAAATTGCTAGCAAAAATTTGAGCAACAAGCACTAAATGGTGGGAGTGAATACCACAATTATTTTAAGAGACCAAATGCTTGCTTCAATCTGTTTACTGTCATTCCCAGTTAATGGTGAAACATAAACAAAAGACAATTTTACATATTATCCGTATAATCAAAGCACATAACTTAGAAAACTGTGTGAGCTTAATGCTAACATAAATCCCATAGCTAACAAAACTAGCATCAATGTTTCGATAGTTACAACACCGAAGCAATTTGAATGCAAATTGTCGCGAAATTAATTATACTCTTAAATCAAGGCCTCTCTGTATTTAGCTGCTTTAGCGACCAGTGTTAATGCAATTTTCTGAGCCTGCGTATGTGTTTGCCAGGTGGTGTCGCAGACAGTCAGCCTGGTGGACCTATCCTGCTATAGTCTGGAGGCGGTGCCCGAGTATCTGTTCTACAGCCAAGATGTCACCCACCTCAACCTGCGACACAACTTCATGAGCCTCCTGGGCCCTGGAGGTCTGCTCCACCTTCCCAGGTACAGACTTCACCCAAATATCATTATCATATCAAATATCATATCATGATGCCTTAAACTTCATTGCAGTTTTGAAAACAAAAATAATTACGCTTATTTATGAACTGTGTGTGTATATGTATATGTGTGTGTATATGTATATGTGTGTGTATATGTATGTAATATATAAACCGGTTCAGGGTGTCCCCTGCCTACTGCCCAAAGACAGCTGGGCTAGGCTCCAGCATGCCCCGCGAGAGCCTTAAAAAATAATTGCATATTCGATCACAATATTGAGGAGAAAAAAATACGATTAGATCATTTTTCAAAGTAATTCAGCCCTATTTGAGCTACAAAATTACATTTTGCTGACATTAGAGATTAGAACTTCATTATTATCTTAAGGTTTAAATGAACACTACAAAGATTGGATTTTTTCAGTGAAATAAACTTTCAAGCCTAAAGTACAGTCTTTTATGGATAATTGGGTTTCTTAGAACAGGCTATCTGTGTATAAATCTTCTAAAAATGTCTCAAATTGCTCCCAGCTAGCCTATTAAATGTACATGAACATGCTAGGCTGCCTAATACTTTGATTGCCACATTTTATTCTTGAAACTCATGAGCAGTACAGAAACACTCATGGACACTTTCTGAGAAACATATCCCTTCGCTGACATAAAGTGGGGTAAAAAAAGTCTCCGATACACTTTCCTGCCGTTTGTTGAACAGGACCAACAGTCAAAGGAACAAATACAGAATGAAAACTGTGGTGGAATGTGGCTAATTCTGCTCTCTTGGTCTTTAGGTTCTCTCAGTTGAAGAGCTTGAACTTGTCTCACAACCGTCTGGGTGTTTTCCCTGAATGCGTGTGTGAAATTCTCACCCTCACCGAACTTTGCCTCTCCTGCAACAATCTCCACAACGTGCCCGTGCAGATCGGCAACCTGCAAAGGTGACACACGCATGTATAGAGCACACTGGTACTATTCGGCACAAGTCATCCTTTAACCACTCATCTAATTTCTGAATTACTGTACCAGTCCATATTTTTGAAATACAGGTATGTTAATTACTCCATCATATCATAAAAAGATGTTATACAGTCACTTGGATTACTGCATCTCAGTTTATAGATGCTATTTTTCATGCACAAACATTAAAGAATTAACTGCTGAGCCATTTTGAATTGCAATGGAGGTTTTGCCACGTTTTTGTGAGGCCAAGGGAAATTGCTTAAAACGTTTTTACCCCATTAATGTGACCTATCAATAACCTGTACAACTCAGTTGACAACAAATGAATCTTTTCGAGAGAGAACATAAAAATAAACATTTGAGATGATACTTTTGCACAAATATGCACACCCTCTTTTACCTGCTTTGAGGATGCGTTCAGAATGAAACAATCATATTCTTATGGTTCATGTTTCAGACACACACTTGAACTCTCGCACATGCACGTGGGAAAATGTGTCAGACCGAGTTTGACATTTTTTGGTCAGAATACCAAAAGATTGTGTGGCTCAAAAAACTCCCCATTGTCAAAAGAACACCTTACAGTGAAGCACGGTGAGGGTGTTTTTCTTCAGCTGGAACTGGGGCCTTGGTCAAGGTGGAGGGAATTATGAACAGTTCCAAATACTTGTCAGTATTTGCACAAAACCTTCAAGGCTCTGCTAAAAACCAAAACCACCACCAACAACAAAACATAAGGAAAAGCCTACTAGAACACCCACATTTTACTTGAGGTGATCAGAGGCCATTGTGTGCTGACTCCCATATAACATAAGTTTTAATGTGTTTGATTAATTCCGAACACAGACACATATTCAGTTATTAGGGGGTATGCGAACTACAATATTTTCATTATTTTTGCCTGCCATCCCAAAATAATAAAATACATTTCAATGGTGTTGTTTATATGTCACATTATTACTTGACAAAATTTTGAAATGACTCTTCATGGTCTCTTTTTTTTTTTTTTTACATCACAAAAAACAGGCATCTGAAAAAGCATGTATAGATTATATAGCCATTTTATGTTGCTAACCAAAACAGCAGCACCAAGCAGGCCACGTAACTCTTGTCTCTCAGATGAATTATAAAGTTTGCTGTACGGTGAAGACTTAAACTATCATGAGCGTTCTTGTAACTCACAATGTGGTATGAGTCCGTGTTTATGTTGCAGGGGTATTCACAACTAATTCTCGTAGTTTCTCTCAGGCGGCACTTTTTGTCATTGTGTGACAGCAGCTCTTTTCCATATGGGATCGCAAATAAAAAAACATTTGATACTCGGGCTCTTTCATTCCACTTTTTTCAAACCAGCCAAATACCAGTACAATTATTCACTCATGAGTACTCAGTGATACTGAGACCAAGTCCTCCTCCTGTCCTGTAGCCTGCAAACGCTGTCTTTGGATGGAAACCACCTGAGCTCCCTTCCCGCTGAGCTGGGTGGACTGCCCCAGCTCGGCAGTCTTGGCCTCTCCTTCAACGACTTCAATCACATCCCAGCAGTGCTGGAGAGACTGAGTGGAGTGGACAAGTTGTCCATGGCTGGGAACCAAGTGGTGTGTTTGGAGTTGGGTGCTCTGCTCACCATGAGCCACCTGAAACACATCGACCTCAGGTAATAAATCATGAGCACCTCTTCCCCTCGCATCAGGACCAATACACGCCAAATCAAGAGCTGTTAATTTAAGGGATGGATCTGTCATAACATGTGGGATGGTAATGTTCTACTCCAGTACTGTAGGGGGCAGAAATGCTCTGGCAAACTACCCGTGCAAAAGCTATAACAAAAGTTTACCTGACTTACAAAAATTTGGGGATATTCAGCTCCACTCCAAATCAGAGCTTTTTTTCACAGTTTTCACTTTTTTTTTCTTTTTCACAATTTAGCAAACACCAGCGATTGGCTAACCGAATAGCATCGGTGGCACGGCGCCATAACCCTTTAAGCAACTGATATTTGAACACAAATGGTGGAGCAACATATGTAGACAGACAATACAACAATACTCACAGGCATATCTTCGTCCTCTGTGAAAAATGACTTTTTACTGCAGCTGACTGAGTCAGTTGTTCAACACTTCTTTGTGTTAATTACACTGCCATAATCATGCAGCACAATAATGTTTACTTCTTTACATTCCACTTCATTAAGTGATCCCGAAATGTTTTTATAAAGTACAATTGTACATTATGTAAGTACAATTGTACATAGTTTGTTTTCACATTCAAAAAACATGATAATTTTGGGGGAGCTCAGGGGGATTAGAACAGATCACTGGCATTTCCATTCATTTCAATTAGGAAAGGTCAGAGAGATAAACATCCTTTCCCCTAACACTAAGCAAGTTCCTCATTCCAGTTTAGATTTGTTGCACTTTCTAATGATAGACTGACAGTTTGTTAAGAGGATCAGGTGTTTTATTCCCTCCTTAGTTGTTTTATTCCCTCCTCACATCTCAGATCTTCCGAGAGCTTCACTGACAAAAACCCAATTCCAATGAGGTTGCGACATTGTGTTAAGCAATTAACAACATACCGGTATTTTTATTTCAAAACTATATTTAATTGAATACTCTGCAAACACAAGCTATTTAATGTTCAAACTGTTAAACTTTTTTTGTTTTTAGCAAGTCAGTGATTATTTCCTAAAAACAATGACGTTTATTATTTGAACCTACAATATCTTGTCTTTCTACAGAATTGAATTCAATATAGGTTGAAAATGATTTGCAAATCATTTTACTCCATTTTTATTCGTTTAACACAACATCCCAACTTCAGTGGAATTGGTTTTGTACTTTTATTTGTCGGCTCAGTGGTGCTAGGTGAAGAACCGCTCATTGATTTTTCTCTTCTTGCCCACATTTCCTCCTACCACTCAACTGCCTCACCTTCGGCCAGCCGATAACTCAACCAGAGTGCTAGGATGGCATGTAGGTAAAAAATGAGGAACGGGTGTGTTTACAAGGACAAGGTGCGTCGATGGTGAATTTCTGAGCAGTTCGCACTCGTGAAAGTGCAGCTGTTTATTAACTCCTCACATGGCATTATGAGAGAACCTCTCCCACTTGACTGAAGATAACGCAAATAAAAACAAGCGACAAAATAATGCTATTGAGTGAGTCGGTAAATCAACAACAAGGAGGGTTCGGGATTATATTAATGTCGTATGGCCATAAGCGGTGCCTCATTGATCTGCAGAGGCGCTTATACGTATACAGAGCAGAATATACCAGGAAACGAGTCCAAAATGAACAGTAGTGTGTTAGAGCACGGAACACATCACAATGGTAACGTAAACTGGTCAGAAATGTCCGATATGGCAGCATAAAGGGTATGTCATTATTTTGAGACTTAATTGTCTAAAACCTTTTTTTCAGGGAATCAGATGCCATTGATTTTTGCATTTCTAATCTTCATACACGCTAGAATGAAAGAAAAATAATTTTGAATTGTTTGTTGCTTTAATAATCCCATCACTTGTGTGTAGAATTGATTCTTGAGGAAATACTGCTGATTCAGTCTCAATTTATTTGCTGTGTAAAGAAGGCAGTGTTTTGAAATTAAGAGGACCATAGCATAATTCCTCAGGGCAGTGTTACGCGGTTCAGTTCAACTTTGGTCAATTCATCAATTCATTTTTGTGGTTTATTAAGGAGATGTCATCAAACAACGGCACATTTTCAGTGTAACCTTTGTTGCTTTTACTGTAACATGTAGATTGAATGGACTACGGTGTGTGAAAAGCGAGAGTCCTGAGCCAGTGACTCAGTTGACCCACCTGGACCTGAGGGACAACTGTTTAGACTCACTGGACCTCACTTCCATCTGCAGCCTGGAGACTCTCCACTGTCAGCGCAACCAGCTGAAGGCGCTGACGGTCGGCGGCTTCGCGCTACGCATGCTTCACGCCGGCAGCAACCGTGAGTCAGCGTCCATTAGAGGGCCGTACATTTCGTAACCGGAACTTCAGTGGGGATTTACCGGACTTAATCCGTTTTTTAATCAATTGTAAAACCATATAAATTTTAAAGTTTGGATTCAATATTTATGTAAAAATAGCCAAAAAAAAGGAAAATTTTAAATAAAATTCATCATACTCACCAATATATTTATCTTGTAAAATATACAATTAGAAATGTATAAAGAAGTCAAATTGTTGTAATCAAGCCCAAAGTCTTGTTTGTTGAAGTGTGCCTTTAAGGGGCAGGGCCTAGCGAGTGACATCAGGAGTTCAGACTAACTCTCTGGACAGCCTTTTACCGAACGGTCAGTTAAAAAAAAAAAAATCTAAGGTTGGCGCAAGTCAGGCTTCTGCAGTATATTTTAAGTTACTTCAACCAGCACTAATGCTTAAGAAAGCTCTGGGCAGATTAGATGCACATAGCAACACACAAAGGCTAAACTCCAATTGGACGAAAAATCCAACGTCCACATGCCTGTACTGAAAGCAGCCGAGATGAAAGAAATGCTACGAAATTAAGAGAATACATTGTTGGGCATATTGGAGATCTCAAGTGAGTGTACCTAATGTAGTGTACAGTCGGCATGTCTACTCTTGTTAAGCAAAAATTGATGTGACGGAAGAGTGCTGACTGCCACCTCCATCTGCCCGCAGGCCTTAGCTCAGTCAGCGTTTACCCAGTCCCAAACCAACTTACACACTTGGATTTATCACAGTGAGTTCTGGCTGGGGAAAATGTGATCCATTGTTGTTGTTTTTTTTTTTTTGTATTTGATGTACTATACCAAGGTGAGTGTTTGTGTGTCTGTTGAGACAGGAACCTTCTGGAACACGTACCAGATTGGCTGAGTGACTGCAGAAAAATGGAGGTGCTGGACATCACGCACAATCTCCTCGCAGAGCTTCCATCCAGGTTAGGTTTAGCTCGCAAGAACGGGGTGAACATTCAAATCCCACGCCAAAAGGTTTGAGTAGGGATTGTCAACCAGAACCTCTGACTCTGAGGCAGTCACGCTGTCCACGCCCTCGCTTGTGCTGCCCTCATTCACAAGTACAGAAGTCATCTCCGATGTAGAGTTTCCATTTCCTAGTGTGCTGGCATTCGTCACATCAGCTAAGTTAATAGTGTGGCGAAAGGAAGTCGCTAACTCACTGTCACAGCAGAACAGCAGGTCATTTAGTCAAATGTTCAGTCATTGTGTAACAAATGGTTACCTTATACTGTCATTTTATTTGTAAAACGAATGCAATTGTTTCGGATATTTTCAACACTCATGCAAAAGGCCCGAAAATATGGAGCAACATTTTGAAAAAAAGATACAGCAACTTTCAACACAAAAATTCTAAACTAGTGTTAGCATTCATTAGTGGGAATTGGGACCAAGCCCTGCTGCAAATAGCCAATATGTGTGAGTACTTGATGACCCTCCAAAAAGATTTGTTATTGCCTCTAAATTCCACAAAATGGCGGTGACCTCTCCTTTTGTCCAAATGAAGCTCCTCTACTGACTTTGACATAGTTCCTTAGTGTCAACATCACCATGAGGTGGTGCCAAAACAAAAGTTTTATTGATTCTGCCTGACCACAATTTTTCTGTGAAGGTGAGAATTTGCGAATGCGAAACCATGAACACGCTGATGTAAACTGCATGGTTATGACTTTCCTTTCTTAAAGATTGCACATCAACTGTCTTTAAACTGCTAACTGTGCTGTCCAAACCGATGGAGAGTTCATTTTCTTGTTGTAATCCACCGCTGGATGTGGATGTCTTCTTTCTGACAGGTTGGTCAACAGTTTGAGTTTGAAGAAGCTTCTAGCGGGGAACAATCGCTTGTCGAGATTGCCAGACATGCTAGACCACGTTCCCTTGGAAATCTTGGACCTCCAGCACAATAAACTAGGAGAACTCCCGGAGAGTCTCTTCTTCAAGGCCTTAAAGTGAGTCTCATTAATCTCTTTAAATCCTCCATCTTGTCATGAATGAATGCCATCTTTTTGGTTTCTTCTTCGTGTTTTTTTTTCCAAGGTGACAACTAATGTATCAGTTCTCATTGTTTGGCTAGTGTGTATGGAACGGTGGCGGTCCAGATCGATGAACTAAACTGCAACGTGAGCTAGATTTCGCCGACTGTTTCCTGTGAGCTAAATCACTTAACACCCATTAGTGCTCTAATGGACTTTTGTGTCTCAAATGCTGAGACAGAATCATGGCGGATTCGCTGTGCAGGATCATCTTCCTGGCCTGTTTTTTTTTAAATGATGTTAGAATATAGGACACAGCTACACTCAAGAGACAGGCCAACAGGTTGTCAGTCTAGAGACAGTATCTCAAAGGCCCATCAAAAGCTGGGGGAGCTGGTCTTTTCGCGTCGATTATGAGGGAGAAAAATGCCAAGACGTTGGTCGTCGGACTAGTTCAAGCACCTCACATTCAAAGAGAGGATGTATTTGTGTGGTATAGAGAGCATGTGTGTCGTAGTAGGTGGTAGAAAGTGCATGTCACAGTCTTGAGAAATGATGACGCAGTTTATGGAGTGAATTTCGAATGCTATGTATAAAAGCCACTGATGCTCAACTCACGCCATGTGAGGAGTCGGTGTTGATCACAATGCGTTATTTTGCCATTAAAAACCCTTTCTCTGTCTTGTTTATGTGTTTTTATAGTTTGAGGTGTCACCAAAGCAAAAAAATAAATAAAGTCACATCAGAATCACCGTTTCGTTTCACAAAAAGCTAATTTTCCACACTTTTTGGTGGAAAATCGATACTTTGGATGAAAACAACCCTGCAGTGGCAACACAAATAATCAGAAATATTGCTGAGAAGGGCTCACTCTCAGACATATTTTCAGAAATTGGCAGATAACAAATGTACTGCTTGTTTAATTTCACACTTGATGGGTGAGCAGACCCTCCAGATGTGCAAATATTTGTATACAAGCCATTAAAAAATACACTTCCGTAATATATCCCTTGAGGATTATAGAAGAATAGCAAGTACCTCATATCACCTTAGTTGAATTGCCGCCCCCCACACACACACACTTCATTTTTATTTATAATGGGAAATCCAACTTTTAGTCAAATACAAGCATTCTCTCCTCATAAACAAAAGTGAATACCGAGCATTTTAGAAAGTAGCTACCCAATATAAAGCTTCATTTAAATACAAATGCTTTGAACATCCACTCAGCGTGACTGAAAACGCAAACCAAAGTTTTAGAACCACCACTCAATATCATCCAAAGCAAAGTATAAAACACAATCAACATATTGTTCAATGACTAGTGCTCTCACACAAACTTGTATTGGATGTCTTGCGATTTTACAGTTGTACCTGGTGCCCAGAAAAACGAATGACGTGTGGAATGATTTGTTTTTTTCCCCCTCTTCACAGTCTAAAACATTTAAACGCATCTGCCAATAACCTGGAAAGTATTCCTCCCAGCGGCCAATCAGACGACAGCCTAAGTACGCTGCAGGAGCTCTACCTGACCAGGAACAACCTCAATGAAAATTGCGGCGCTCTGCTGGTAGGACACCACAACCTGAGGGTCCTGCACATAGCCTACAACCAGCTGCTCTCATTCCCTGCCAGGTTTGTTCAACGTTGAGTATATTGGACCTGCACAACCAAATGCAGTAGTACAAAGGAGCCACCTAAAAAAAATAACCCCTTTATGTTGAACACTAGAATACTATAATGTACTACCTGTTGATCGAAAACAAGTTTTATTCCAAAAGAGAATTTTAAATATATTGTATGTTAGGCTATTATTGTGAATGAAAATGAATGAAATAACCAACTAAAATTGGGAAAACATTTTCGTTAACAAAAACAAAAATAGTGATGAAAATGCTTTTAAAAATGAAATCAACTGAAAGTACATTTATACGTTTATAAAACTAACTCTATTTCGTTACTATAATTATAGTGAAAACGTCCTTTGTTTTAATCTTTTTCAATTAATTTACCAGAGTTTTGAGGTTTCGTTTTAAATGTATTTATTTCGGTATTGCTGCACATGCAGAAAGAAGAAGAAAGGTTAAACAGTTGTTTGAGAATTTTTGTTTACTTTATGTCATCACTCAATATTTAGTAACTTTAAAAAAAAAATAATACTCCACATATTGAACAAGAAAATTAAACTAATACTAAAACCAATATATTAGGTTGTAAATTAGGTTAGTTTGTATTGCAATTATCATTGATTCTAAAATGATAATCCATTTATTTTAAAGTATCATGTCCGAACATGATGAATCCTTGTGAATAATAATATTTGTGATTATTGATGATGAGGAAAAAAAAAAAAATGTTGATTAGCCCTATTAGAATCTCATCTAATCTTTTAAGTGTGAGGATAAGAAGGTAGAAGCTGTTCCCTTCTCTCTCTCTGATATTGTACTCTCACCAGTTGAATGAAGCAACTGATGTAACTATTCATCTGTGTCTATACACTATGACCTTGCCCAAGGAGAAAGAGGCAGACATTGCTTCGAAGCTGCCATCTGGTTGTACAGTATTTAACTGGCACAACTCCTGAAGCAAATTAACTTTCATACAACGATTTACTGGGATGCACAATTGGAAGATCTCCTGAAGAAACACTGTACGGACAAATGTAAACAGCTTACGTTTGTTTTTTTGTCATGGCAGGATTTCTTATTCAAATCATGTTAGAGACCCTGGGCAGCCCAGTGGTCGATTGGTTAGCGAGTCGACCTCACAGTGCAGAGGTCGTGGGTTCTCCCTGTGCCTGCGTGGGTTTTCTCCGGGTACTCCAGTTTCCTCCCACATTCCAAAAGGATGCACGGCAGGCTGATTGAACACTCTAAATTGTCCCTAGGTGTGAGTGTGAGCGCGGATGGTTGTTCGTCTCTGTGTGCCCTGTGATTGGCTGGCAACCAGTTCAGGGTGTCCCATCACCTCCTGGCCAAAGACAGCTGGGATAGGCTCCAGCATGCCCCGCGACCCTTGTGAGGATGAAGCGGTTCAGGAAATGGATGGATTATTGGATGAAAGAAGCCAGCCTGTGTTTGTAGTTTGTACTTTTTTAGCACAAGTTGGCTGTGTTTGTTTGTCTTTAGTAAGCTGAGTAAGCTGGAGCTGCTTGAGGAGCTCAACCTAAGTGGCAACAAGCTGAAGAGCATCCCCTCCACGGTGTCCAGCTGCAAGAAACTGCATACCCTCATTGCGCACTCAAATCAGATCAACGTCTTCCCGGAGATCCTCAACCTTCCTGAAATCAAGGTCAGGCTGTTGGGTTTTTGGGGGTGGGTGACATCACCAGACAAACGGGTTATGTTGTGTATTTGCAGCTTGTAGATCTGAGCTGTAACGAGCTGACTGAGATCCAACTGCCTGAATCGCTACTGCCCAGCCTCCAGGAGTTGGATTTGACGGGCAATGGCAGCCTGATGCTGGAACACAACACTCTTAATCTCTTCAGGTGAGTACCCCCACAAAGATTTTTATGCACCTTGCCTTCATATCCTGGACATGACTAGCTGCGGAAAGGGTTGAAAAACTTCAAGCAAATTTCGATGGGAATGGAAACTGGGGAATATTGGAGATATCCTAAATTGGAAACTTGAATTGATTAATTTACTCAAAAGGAATACGCACGCACGCACACACACACACACACACACACACACACACACACACACACACACACACACACACACACACACACACACACACACACATTAGAGGGCATTACAGTACAGTGAACTACTGCCGCAACTAGTGAATATCCCTGAGTAAATGACGCCTACGCCAAAAGGTTTGTATTACCTGTCGATGTCACAACATGAGACCAAAGCACTTTTTTTTGTATTAGACAACACTGTCGCCTGACCGAATGAAGCTATTACCCTCCCTTCAACATTGTTGCTTGGCACTAATATGCCACAAGATGACGCCAAAGCAATATCTTTCTATTAGACATGGCTTTGGCTGAAGTAAAAACTTGCAGAGTTTTTCAACAATAGTCTGCGAATAAATGAATACTGTACTGGGAATATGAGATGGTTCACTGTATGGTTCTTAATACCCCCATTTTTTTCATTTCACTCAAACTGCATCATATCCAAGGCTTGCTCATACAGTACTTCAAATTTTGGCTTGTAAAACAAAGCAAACAAAAGTCAACCAAGTCGGGGCACTTGTAAGGCAAGGTACGACTGTAATCGCATGAAATCTGATTGGTTTTAGTCAGGATTCTATTAAAGTATATTTTCCCCGACAATATTTAAATTACCCCATTAAGAGCCAAGCTTCAATTTTTTTTAATTCCTGTAAAATCCCTGTTTGTTCCCATAGAAAGTTTGTAACTTTGAACATTTTGCAACCCAAGATGTGACATTGTCTGAATTTTATCTTTGATTTTAAGTCACATCACCACATTGAAACTGGACCAGAAATCGACTGCAACGGGAGAATCGCAAAACGTCTCTGCTCCCTGGAGCCATGGGTACTCTGAAATGAGCGGCCAAAGGAATAAGTGAGCTTTTCAACTCCTTGCTATTTTTGTATGTCCGAAAATTCTACCCTGCTATACATAACGGCCGACCATTTGTCCAAATTATAATATCCAGCTGAATAAATGAACAAATTGAGTCCTCATTCGTAAAGCAAAAAGTATATTCTCTAACTCAGCTTTTTAAAGGCATCTTTATGTGCCTGAATACAGTACATGGACACCAACCTTGGTACATGCCAATTAATGAATCAATCAGCAATGGGAGAATCTCAAGTCTCAAGTGAGCTGGTGCCTATACCAGCTGACTTTAGATGAGCCGTGGGGTACACCATTGGCTGGTTACAATGCAGTTGCACAGAGTTGGACTCTTACAATCTCAATGGTTTAGACAGCAGCAAACAAGTTCCGGTTGCCTTCAAAGCTTCTGCTTCTAACTAGCGAAAAGTTCTTTTTTTTTCTTTCTGTTTGTAATGACTTAGCTTAACTCAAATCCCATGGTGCATTGTGGCCAAAGGTTGAATCCTGGGCTATTACTGCACCTTTTGATGCTGTAAATCGTAAATCCTTGTTGTGGCGGATGCTACATGCTAAACTAGCGAGCTAGCTGGGTCTCTTTTTTTGTTGCCTTGAGAAGCGGCAGCATGCTAACAACATTCATTGCATATTAGTTTCCATGGCTACTTCTTCCTTTTCTTCTGTTTCTTATTCTTTGTCATGATTAGGGAATGGGGATTCAAGGTGTGAATCCAAGCTCTCCTGTTATTCGTCTCGAGAATTTGCTGAATGAATTTCCCCAAAAACGGGACTTTGTGGAGCGACTAATATATGGGTGTTTTTTTTTTTCTTCATGATGCATTTTTTGAATAAATTGGTATACAGTTCTCATTTTTGTGAATGAGCTTTACCTTCTGGACCCTTTCGGGGGGAACAAACAATAACACATTTTGGGAGTGCGCATTTGAATTCAGATGTCATGGCCGCAACAGGTTGTGTGTGTCCGTGCTGGCCATCGACCGACTTGGAGACAGGGTGGAAGCATGTTACAGTATTTTCGACGGCGACCGCAATGAGGAAGTCCCTCGGCTGCTCCAGTGCACTATGGGCGACGTGCTGTGCGAGGAAGTGCAACATTCCAGTATTGACAGTGTGTATATGAGCAACACATTCCTAACTTCACACAGGTTTGTGCAGTTCCCCAAAATATCATCACTGTTCTGCAGAGTTAGTGTATCTCTGACCCTGGCTGTATGACTGACCAACGGAACAGGAAACTAGGTACGGTCGGCCAGAAATTGGGTGCCTCTGCCTTGCTGTGTTATATCCACCATGAGTCCTCAGAGCCAGGAGGCTACCTCAGTGTGACAGTGGCCAACGTGGGCACCTGCCAAGCGGTGTTGTGTCGGGATGGTCGACCTGTACCCCTCTCAAAGGTGTACAGCCTGGAGAACTGCACTGAGGAGATGGAGAGAGTTAAACTCAACAAAGCCATCATTACCGAGGTAATATTCTGATTACAGTGTGGAGAGTAGTCAGTGGCCACTCTGCATTTGATACTCTCCATGACCGCTCACTTATTTTTAACCTGTTTTGAATCTTTAAGTCATCATCTGCTATGATATAAAGCCATGTATTATGTACTGTACTGTAACTATGGTATCACATTGAACAGTTTGTTGATTTGTATTTGTTTTACTCTGATGTCTGCTTTGGGGTTGGTATTGCAAATGAGAATCTTTTCACGATTGCCTGACCCAGTCCTAGACAAATGAAAGTTAAAGAAATAAATATAAATGTTAGGATGGATCTCAAGAAAATCGAACAAACGCTCAAACGACTTGCATTGTGAGTCCCCTGACAAACCTGCTTAGCAAACATTTACCGCATGCAAATGTCAGATGCGACCAAAAAGAGAATATTTCTGTTGATCTGTTAATGTGATTCCAGATAATTACAATTTTTCGACATCCATTGCAGACCCTGTTCCAATTCTAAAATTCAAGTGTTAAAAAACAACTGGTAGAAGTAAAACAAATTCTTTATTATTATCAGTCATAACCTTAAGGATGAGTGACGAAAGTGTCCTGTGTTCTGGGTAGTTGTAAACCATGAAAACAAGTGAATTGTAACGCGCAGAGTTTTTGAAGGTGAGTTTTGTGTGATTTTGAATGATACAACCTCGCGGCTGTTTGACTTGAGAGGTTCCACCTTTAGTCCAAAAGGCTGCTTCGATATGCCTTCGTGGGGGTGGTCACTGTAAGGTGCAAATTTGTGGCTGGTGAAAGGACCGCCCTGACGTTGCTGTACTCAGGGAAATGTCCCTTCTTGAGATGCAAAAAAAAACACTGACTCTGCACCCGAAGAAGCTGCTCTCAGATGTTATGTCATGTGCCTGTGCAAAGGCTGCTTAGTCTCTCCAATGTTGAGGTCACTCCTCACTCCACTCCACTGCATGAGATGTAGAACTGAAGTAGCCTTTTGGACAAAAGGTGAAAGGTCTTCAACAAACAAGAGAAGTCCAGCTGCTTCAATTCAAACATTGCACATCACCATGACCTGGACGACTGGAGAATCTGCACAGACAATAAACGAAAAGATACTAGACAGTGAGAGCTTTTTCTGTAATGCAGTCTGCTTGCCAGTGTGTTTAGCTGCAAATAAAAATGTTTCACCTATCATTAATATTTGGCTTGATATTCACAGTCACACATGCCTTACCCCGAGGAATTTTCTCTTTTCTAGGATAACAAAGTGAGTGGTGTGACATGCTGCACCCGCCTGCTGGGCTGCTCTTATCTGTCTCCGTGGGTGCTTCCGAAGCCCTGGGTGCACACCGAGCCGCTCTCATCCCTGGATGAATTCTTGATCCTGGGGAATCGCGCGCTGTTTGAGCGCGTATCCTACCAGGAAGCTGTGTGCACAGTTCAGGCCATGCGGGATCCGCGCGCCGCCGCCAAAAAGCTTTGCACGCTGGCCCAGAGCTACGGCTGCAAGGACAACATTGGGGCTGTGGTCGTGGCCTTGAACATTGCCGAGGACAGCTGCACTTGCAAGCCACCCGTTTACACCACTGAACCCAGGGGTCCCCCTCCGGGCCCTTTGGCTGTATGCATGACGCCAGCCCCAAGTGACACAGCTACTTTGTCATCCACTAGCGGGGTGGTCTCTGAGTTCAACAGCGAGACGTCAGCGTCAGAGGTGGGCAGCGAGGCGGGCTCCACCGCCTCCGATGAGCACCCAAGCTCAGGAGTTGCGCCACGTCCCGAGAGACGTTGTAGCCTGCATCCCGCTACGACGCTGTGCGGTATCATAGTCCCAGGCTCGGTCGGGCTGGGGAGCCACATGGGCCTGTTCCAGCGGCAACCTTCCTGTGCCACGTTCTCCAGCAACCACTCTGACAACGGTTTGGACAGCGACGATGAGACTCCTCTAGAAGGCGTCATCTCCAATGGCAGCAAGTTAGAAGTGGAGGTGGACATTCACTGCTGCGCTTTCCAGCTGCGATCAGGGGCCCCCGAGAGCCTGAAGGACACAGCCTTTGAAAAGCGATTGTCTGATTATCCGAATGGCAAGATGCGCAGGCAGAATAGTGTGGTGGTCTCCGCGACAAATGGCTGCCTGCTGGCTGTTTGTGGCAGAGAGCTCGCGGACCTGAAGAAATCACCTTCGACTTCGTGTCTGTTCGGGAAGAAGCTGTCCAACGGCTCTGTGGTGGCCCCCGAGGACAGTCATAATCTCATCGAGGTGGCCCTGGAGGCACCTAAAAAGAAGTCCGGGTATTTCACTGCGCCCGCACAGCAGGAACCCGAAGACCAGCTGATTGTGCCTCCTTGTCTGGAGCAGGAAGTCAGAGAGCAGCTAAAAGGCCAGAGCTCTCTGGTCTCAGCCCCCTCTGCACCGTCCACACCCCCTTCTGTCAAAGACGCAGGGTGGGATCAATCACAACCCCCTACTCCCTTTGCCCTGAACCTAGTACCAGGTCTTGGAGCGACCCCAATCGTAAAGCCTGAGGTCTATGATACCGCCCTGTAAAAGGGGGAACATAGCACAGCTTGGCTGCCATGCTGTTAACGTGCCATCCCAGGGAAGTAGAGAAGATTTGTCCATTGAGAAATTAGTGTGAGATTCAAGGGGAAATTCTCTTTGCATCGTGCGAGCAAGACACTTTTTGGCTCAAGCATGAAACTGTCAAACTTATCCTCTCACTTTGGGATTGCACAGGACTGTGCTCAGTGCGGGTCACATTCTTCTAGTCCAAGTGCCTACTGGAGATGACTCAGCCTCAGAGTTCCCAGGCTACACGGCTGTTTTAGAGTAGAGCTTCTTACTCAGACCCGGAGGAAGGACAATGAAGTTGACACAGCTCGCCCTCCGCTTCCTGTAGCTTATACAAGAAAATACACATAATGTATGCCATTCAGTCTCAAATGGCCCCGTTCCCATCAAACCTCAATTCAGTTGAGTTAGGTCTGGTTTGTGTTTGTATTGCGGGATAAAAATGGTTGATCGTGTAGTTGCCAAAACTCAGAATGAGTCCTGATTGCACCTTTTAAACTCAACGTCGTCTAAACCTTTTCCAGTAATTGGACTGCATACAGAAAGATTGAAGGATGACTAGGCCACTTTCATATTCTCCACCTTTTGTTTATTAAACTTGCTAAAACCAATCCAATGTAAGTTAAGATCAGTTACATACATTCAAAGGAACAACAGCCTCAAACATGTCTCAGCTTTGTGTTATAGCTCATAGAGCAAATATTTTCAATTAGTGTGTGGTAATTTTACAACTTGTATCAAAGTTGAATATTTTAAAAATCATAGGACACTCTAAATTATCCCGAGGTGTGACTGTGAGTGTGAATGGTTGCTGGTCTATGCGTGCAGTGCGATTGGCTGGTAACCAGTTCAGGGTACACCCTGAACTGGTTACCAGCAAGTTACAAAGCAACAAAAAAACCTTACAACGGCTTACCGCGCATGCGCACCTCATGCTTTATCAATCCTACCGTACGCAGCGATGAAAAAAAATATACGATTGAGGATTACTTTTGCTGGTTTGCCGTGACAATAGTAGCGATCGACGACGGCATTGTCGTTGGCTACCAGCAGGTGAGACGATCTGGATTTGAGCCAAAATGGTCTTTGTGAGATCGGTTCACAATTTTTTTCCCCCGTTTAAAAATTGTAATGGGCCGTACATGATTTGAAATGATAAAAAAAAAAAAAGAAACGTATAAAATACGGGGAAAACGTACAAGTTGACAGGTATGGCATTTTCTTTGAGAAGTCGCTATTTTTGCGGTACGACAAAGCTATGAATAACATAAATATATGACTTTACCGCCATCTTCTGGCATCTTGGGGCCAAGCAGTCGGGCCATAGCATTGTCTAATAGTTTTTCACAGATTTTGGCTAGTCGCAGCAGTGTTTTTTTCCTGTCTCTCGTAAATAGAATCAAATTGCGAAATCTGCGAGGAACTGATGGCCCCAAAAAGGTTCTGAACTGTCTCTTGATGTCACAAGATGGTGGCAAAGCACTACCTTTGACTAAAATTCCTCAACTCACTTCAGCATAGTTCCTTGGTACCAAGATGCCAAGGAAGATGGTTCCAAAGTAATACTTTCATTGTGTTGGCTTTTATTAACAAATAAGGTATAGGTTACCCCAAAAAGATCACGCAAAAAGGTGAATTTGCAAAAGCTGTGGTCGTGTGTGTATGTGTGTGTGTGTGTGTGTGTGTGTATGTATATATATATATATATATATATATATAGAGCTAATTATAATGCAGGCCGATGACTCTTGGTTCCTGGTGCCAAAAGAGAAAATATATATTAAGGAGACCAAAGTCAGGTCAATTGCACATTCACATTGCCAATTCGACATATTGCTTTGGCGTCGTGGTGCAGTTGTGGCATTCCATAGTTTTGCTTTCCAGCGTTCCCTTTCAGCCTTAAAGCATTGCCGCTCACTAGGTGGTAAAAGGAAGATGAGCCATCGGTTGAATCCCACTCATGTCCTGTTTATTGTCTCTGAAGCCTTAATTGTCTTTCTAATGTTACTTGTCATCGTCATGGATTCAACCCTAATTACTAAAGCACTTTGTACTGAGTTTAGTCTGTGAGAATGTGATCCTCATTGTGTGTTGGAGTTAATCATATACTGTAACCTATAGAGTGCTGAAAGCCCTTGATTTCCCTTACAGTCACATTTTCCCTCCAGTAGTCATTTTTATAGTACCACAAGTTCCATAAAAACTAGCATGAATTGCAAAGCAACATCCTTTGATATAAGGAATTCTACTTGGTTAAAATTCCTGCACAACTGCGCATCACAACGGTTAATAAAATGTGAAACAAAATGAAGAGGCACCTTTTGTGTTATGTAAACTGAACAGTGCAGTTAGTTGCTGGAGTCATTGGGGAAAAACACACACCGTCACCGCTCACCAAGTCCTAACTATAAATATTGAGACATTGTGCAAGTAATGAATTACTGAGAATTCATTTGAACCAAAACTGTACCAATCACTTTTTTTTTTGTGCTGAGGCCAAATCGAGTCACCTGATTTTGAGTATCGGTGTGTGTCTTATTTAAATGTACAATGAGGCAATGTAGCGTCAGTTGGTGCTCAACTCTTCTCATCTACAAACAATGATCAATTGCCTCGGCAAATGCAACCGGTGGGACACAAGTTTGCTTGTCACAAAATAAGTCACACGCATTAGACTTCTATTTAAAGGCAAATCATTATACAGGTATGTGTTACATTAGCTTGTTTTTTTGTCCCTGACAATGATGCCCAGTGAGCTCTTTGGCCATACATTTCCTTCTTGTATCCTGTGCACCTTTGCAGTCATTAAGTTTGTAGTGTCTTTCGACTTACCCTGAGTGTCCATGTAAGCAAAATGTTTCCATATCTAACACTGTGCCTCTTTTCTTTTGTGAGCTGCGGATGAGAAAGATTTTGACCATTTCAAACACAAGCTTTGTGGACCAAGGTGGTGCGCACTACACAGCGCTTTGACTGCTGAATAGACAAATGAGATGCTGCGTGAGAGCCAGCCCTGTTTAAAAAAAAAAAAAAAATGTAATGTTTTTCACCTGATGCCGATTAGCGGAAAAATACACGATCAGATTGAGATTGTTGCTGCCTTTTTGGATACCAGTCACCAGACTGACACAATAATGAAAACAATACAAAGTACATTAGGGAAATGCTAAAAACATCTTGAAAGTATTAAAAAAAAATATGTGTGGTGTGTTGAAAGTGTGCACAATCAATTAATAGTACATTAAAAATGTTTTCTCAGAAATATTGCAAGATAATAAGCACCTCCTCGTTGTTTACACAGCGCATAATAGTGCAGTGGATATGAAAAGTCACACACCCCTAATTAAAATACCTTTTTTTTTATGATATGAAAAATTAGACAAAATTAATCATTTTAAAACTTTTTCCAAATCTTTTCGGGAGGGGAAATACAAATAAACAACAGAGATAATGGCGTTTCACAAGTATACACACCCTTTGATATTTGAGGAAGTGGTTTTGTTCAGGATTAACCGACCAGATTCAAATTCATATTAAATAGGAGTCAGCACACACACACACACACACACACACACACACACATACACACACTGTTTTAAGTGCCTCTGATTAACCCCAAATAAATGCCAGATGTTCAAGTCGAGCTATTCCTGACATTTTGTTTTGTGTTGTGCAAACACTAAATGGTATTTGGAGCTTTTCATACCGGTAATTACTGTACAGCCACCTCGAGCTAAGGCCCCACTTTGAGAACAAGAAAATAGCGCAAAAGCATGACACCGGCTTATTTTTTTTATATCACAAAAACCTGACATTTGGACTGGGGTGCATAGACTTATGTCTACTACTTTGCGAAATGTTATCATATTTGCAGCACCTCAACTTCTATCATTTAGTGAGTGTGACTGATTGATAAATTTAACACGTGTGTTTGGTTTGTTCCTCATTCAATGCCTGACCAGCATTGCACAACCACACATTCTTTGCTCTTAAAAAAAAAAAAAAAATCCAAATTCACACGCAATGTACAACATTATGACTTAATAATTATGTCTCCTAGTGTACACGTTCATCCAACACATTTGTGTAATGTAATATATGCCAAGTGCGTGTGTACATACAGGGAGGGAGCACAGCCGAGTGGGATACAGTCCAGTGCATTTATTGACAAGATTCCCTTTAATTCTTTAGTGGAGCGGGTCCAGTAGTGTTCTTCTTATGGCCATGTCACATTATAGTCGAAACCCATGTGGAAACCTCTTTAAATTGCAAAGTGTCTGTGTTTGTGTGTACAATGAAGCACGTCGACTATTTGTGCAGTAAGTGGATGCATGTTGTTGTGATTATTGTGAATGGGAATGATCCAAGACACGGCGGTTGTTGAACATGTGACCAAAGTAGCCCTTACTCGATCTCCAGGTTCCTTTATATTTTCTAGAAAGGCCTGAATATTTTATTTTTCTTGACACCAAGGAGCTGATTTTTATTTTTGTACTTCATTGCAAATTAATATCACCCTCTCCACTATGGAATTCCAAATGATGAGGTGTCATTTTCGGACTGGATGATGCTAAATATAACTGTATTTAATGTTGACAGCATGCCCTCGATATCAACATAAAATATATGTGTGTGTAAACTATTTTGTTTATGCAATATGGAGCATAACTAACATTTTTAAGGTTGGCATTCTAGCATGCAAATTGCTGCTGGTGTTTGTAAATTTTAAGATTACTAATTAGAGATAGTTTAGAAAGAGTGACAACGAGACACATGAGAGGTCATCATTTTATTTAAAATGCTGCTACGTAGCAATAAAATTTTTACTGACTCGTTTTTGTCCGGCTTGCCCAACATATAACGATCATTTTACACTACCATCCTGTTTTGTTTGTTTGTTTCATTTTGACATGTGTATTATTACTCCTGTCTGACATTAGTGAAGAAGAGTCCATTTCAAGTTGTCCACATAATTGTGCAGAAAATAAACCCTTTATAAAATAAAAAGCTTACTTGTTCCATATTTAGATTATTATTATTATGTATTATGAGCAGGATGGTGGTTGCCCGCTTAGCGCTGTCCAACTCACAATACAGAGGTCATAGGTTAGATTCCAGGCCGGGGCCGACTTTGCTGTGCGGAGTTCGCATGTTCTCTCCGTGCCTCTTTGGGTTTTCTCCGGGTACTCCGGTTCACTTCCACATTTCAACAAAATGCACGGTACACTTTAAATCAGGGGTGCCCATTACATCAGTCACGATAAACCGGTAGCTCGCTGACAGGGCCCAAGTCGTTTCCCGAGGTGTGTTTGGTCAAAAACACAAACAATCATTTAATAGAAAAATAATTTTAAAAATAAGATAAAATAAAGCAGGTCACCTTTAACTTACGCTAACGTATGACCTGCGTCACCGGAAGTTGTTCGCGCTCAGAAGTCTGCAATTGCAGTTTACGATCACAGATGTTGCGATATACTGTATACAGTGTGTGTGTGTGTGTGTGTGTGTGTGTGTGTGTGTGTGTATGTATGTATGTATGTATGTATGTATGTATGTGTATATATATGTATATATGTATATATATACATATATATGAGATGTAGATCTCTTCCTTTTCCTTTGCATTGAAAAATGATTTATTTATATTATTACACAACAAGGGGTAGGACTAGATAAGTTGTATACTTCTTCCTACTCCTTTGAGCATATAACGGTGATGATGTTTGTTTTACTTACTTTTTA